ATTATCAGAAACTTAACTCTCATTATAGCAATTCATCTGTTCATTAATTATTATAACTTTTTCGTTCCTTGTTACATTCGCATTTTTATTTTATAATATATATGTAACATAATAAAAATATTGTATTATAAACTCGATAATTTCTAATGAAAGCAAAGGCTTAAAATTTGATATAAATTTTCAAGAAAATTAAATTTAATTTTAATATAATTAGAATGCTGCAATTATTTTAATATAATATAAGGAGAAAGAAAACAGAAAAGAAAGATTTGGGAATGAGAAAGATGTCATTAAAGGAAATATTAAACTAAGATTGACCTTTTAGAGTATTCTTTTGATAACCTTTTTTTATTCTGTCATCCTTAATCACATATTTGACCATACTTTCCTTTTCTTTTGCCTCTTCTCTTTCTTTTTTATCAAATCTTTTATAGTTAATATCTATTCATAAACACATATTCTTATCACTTTCTTTTTTTTTTTTTTTTTTGCTCCTTTCAAATGTATCCTTTAGCATTATTATTATTATTATTATTTATTCATAGAAAATTACAGAATAAGTTTTGTTCCAGTTTACATCACTCATCGTTTTCATTTACTATCCATTAATCGTTATCTTATCAAATGATTCATCTGTCATCTCTAAATTGAACTTGTCATTCATTTCAATGACTCCTAAAGGTATGTTTGTCTTCTTTATGCACCATAATAAATATATAGCATAACGTGTACGTAAAATATTCAACCCTTTTTTTCCATATATTAAATCTGCAATAGATGTGATATACATAATGAAAATATAATTCTGTCGTACGTGAAGTAAAACGTGAAGTGAAACGATGTTCACGTATTATAAATTTGCATCTTTCCTACTTTTCTGCTTTAAAAAATTGAATTTACAGTCGAATATCGATATTTTGACACTCTCTTGTCGCTAGAACGTTTCCTATCATTTATGGGATTCAGTAGTAAGACGGGTAGGGTATATTTGTCGATTTATGTATGTGTATGTATGTATGTATGCATATATGTATGTGTATGTATGTGTGTATGTATATATGTTTATGAGTGTGTGTATGTGTGTGTTAAGCTTAATAAGATCAAAGCTAATTGAAATAATTTCAAGATTTACTCATATGCAAATGAAAATGCTTTCTGATTACCAAAATGGATTTTTCTTTTTTTTTTTCGATACTTCTTATCAGTCATATCGGATAGACGAGAGATATGATAAAAAAGAAAAAGAAAAAAAGGAAAACCCTTTGCTTATGTGGAATAAATTCACATTTCATTGAATATAATGAAATATGGAATAAAATTAATTACTTATGGTCTTTTATCAAAGTAATAAACAGAAGGTTAAAAGGTCATTTAAATGTAAAATAATAAAAAATAGTAAAGTGAATAAAATTATATATGCTTCACAGCAATTATTAATGATAATTTATCAGTGAACTTCTAAATTTTTCAAAATTTATCAAAATTTATTTTAAATACGTAATTAACAACAATTGTTATAATTCATTTTTATCATTTCTTTTTCTCGTTCACTCTTTCATCATGTTAAGAAAAATTTTTTAATTTTATTTATCTTAAATTTCGTTTACATATTGATCTAAAACAAACGATAAACAACAGACAGAAGTGAAAGAAAAAAATGACATTAAATTGATTAATTTATTATTTTCTATGCAAATTATTTCATTAAATGTTTTCCACAAATGTTTCAATTAAATATTTATTATTTTTTAAATTTAACAATTTTCCTTTTTTTTTTTTTTTTTTTTTTTTTTTTTTTTTTTTTTTTGCATTATTTCTTACAATTAATAAACTTTAAAAAGAAGAAAAAAAAATTCTTTTTTCTTATTATTATAATTTAATTTTCCATTTGTTTAAAATTATTTCTCATTCATTTGAATATATTTAACTTAATTCAATTTTCAGTTCTTTTTTTTTTTCTATTTCATTTCATTTCCATCATTTTTCTTAACAAATAATGCATTTCATCCTACAACTTTCTCTCTTCCTCTTCTCCTTCTCCTTCTCCTTCTTCTGCTTCTGCTTCTGCTTGCTTACATTTATTTAGCTTTCAAATACTTTGCATTGCCATCACAGACACACTTCCATTCATTTCAACAGCCCATCGCATCGATCGGATGATATTAACGTTTTTCTTTTCATTCTCAAATTTCTAACTATTTACATAGTTGCTACTAATCAAATGAAATTTTTCAAATTTCCTTCAAAATTTTTTAAAAACGAAATTTATTAAAATTAAACACATTTGCAAATAATAATTTTTCATTTAATCATTAATTAAATTATTGATTAAATACTAATTAAATAATGGAAATTTTTGTTTAATATAATTATTATTATACAATTTTTATTCATATATTTATTATTTTTTTAATTATGTTTGCTATTTAAAGTGAAAAATGTATATAGCATATATTTTAATTACAGAAATTTAAATTATAATATATAAATAATTCTAGTAGGCAAGAAAAATACTAGGAAATACTAATTAAAAATATTCCTAAGAGAAATATAATTAATTCTCTTTCATTAATTAATGATGAGAATTGCGATCGAACAATGATTAGTGATATGAAATAGAATCATGTGATAAAGACGACAGAAAATGCTGTACATAACTGGGTGAAGAATTTTCTAAAATATATCATCAATTTGAAATGAAACTGAATTTTCCTCTGACTTCTTTTTACTGAAATCAATCAAATTAATAATTTGTTTAAAACATTAATTTTTGCTGTCTTTTTCTTAACTTATCTTTAAGAACAAATTAAAATATATATTTATATGAATTTATTGATACTAATAGTAATTAATTGAAATTGATTTAATAATTGTAAAAGTTTAAAAAATTACTGTGAAATCTATCGTTTGCCACTTTTTTTATTCATTTGATTGAAACGAGTGGTTATGATAGTCATTGGAAGTGAAAGAAGGTGACATCACAAGAAATGGACAATGATTAATGATAAACTATTCTTTCATTTTATTTAATTGATTTTTCAATTTCATATTTATATTTTTTTTTTTTTTGATTTTTTATTAATACGAAATGATTACAGATAATATCAGTGATTATTATCGTTATCATCGTTATCACTGTTGCTGTTCATTCAGTAATTGCAATTAATTGTTTAGTGTAACTAAACGATATTGCTATTTTTTAACTGTTATTTATTCATTTATCTATTTGATTCATTGGTTTAATCAACCTAATTAATTAATTAGTTATTTAATTAAATTGTTTGTTTAACACTTTGTTTATTTATTTAATCCGTTTGTTTTATTTATTTATTCATTTATTTAGGCAATTATTTAACTTATTTATTATTTTAATTAAATGATTTATTTGGACATCTGTTTGCTCATGTGTTTATACATTATTTAATTAATTTTGTTTATCCACTAATTAATTGATTTATTAATACTTATATTTACTTGTTCATTTAATTTATCTGTTTATTATTAATTAATTATTGTTCATTATCAATTTCTATTCGTTTCTTCACAATTTTAATATTACTATTACGTCAAACAACCAAATTATAAAAATTTTACCACTTCAATTACTGCGTACACTCTTTTCATCTCTCATTTATGTTTTAAATTTAATTAGAATTTTAATTATTCGTCATAATTCTTAGTTTAAATCAGTGATTACAATTTGATGCATTATTTTTTATAATTTTTTTTTCAATACTAACATATTTAAATTTAATATTCTTTTCTTTTCGGTTTTTTATTTAATGATTATTCATTTTTCTTTTTTAGTTTCTTTTTAAATTTTAATCACTCAAAATATCGATTTCTGTAGTTGTCTAATTTCCAGTTTCGGATTCCAGTTTTACCTTTTTATTTATTTTTTTGCTTTTTTTTTCTATTTCAAATTTTGATTATTCAAAATATTCACTCCCTTATTATTACCAATGGCTTTTTTTTTTTTTTGAAAAAAAGACTTTCGCTTTTTTCTCTACTCATTGTTTTAGTCTTTTGCTAAAATTGATTATTTTATTTTAAACTGTCGTTTGCTTCTTATCATTTCGATACATTTTGCTTTCGTTTTCTTTTCTACTGCATCATTCCCTCTCTTTCTCTCTGTTTAGAAAATTTTTAAATTAAAAGAAAAATTACGCATTTTTCCTTTACTGACTGATTCGTTCGATTTTGTTTGCTTTCCTGAAATATTTCAAATTATTACGATTAGTTTATATAAATAATTAAACTAATTATTTTTAAATTTCCCATTTTAATGGTATTTTTATATTGGTAAAATTCCAAAAATAATTAATTATTCCATTATTTGATAATATATTAGCAATAATTCGTTAAATACATTTGTTGCTTTTATTATTTGTATCAATTACGAGTGATAATATTGTGAATTAGTCAATTCAAATTATCGGAATTGAATTAATTAAAAGGAAGAAAAAGAAAAATAATAATAAGTTTGATAATATTACAATTTTATTACCTTTACTTTGATAAATGTCATTTTCTAGAAAATCATATATGTCAATCGTAAAATAAGCTATATTTATAAATTTTAAAATATAATATGCATTTTTACTCTAATATATTTCATTTCCACTTCCCTTTCACCAATTTCTTACATAATATTAATTAATAATTTAAATTTATAGTCTTTTAATTAAGTAATATAATCTTCCATAATTGAATATCGAATTTCTTTTTCATAGTATTTTTTCTGCTTTAATCTGCTAAAAGTATAAAATCGTATAAATCGATTTTAAATTATCAAATAAATGAAATAATCATTTATTACAGAGCAATTAACGTCACATCGTGCTAATATGTTATTATGATCAAACAATCATCCAAGAGCGCACAAAAATATAATTAGCGCATTTTGCTGTGTTAGCTCAAAAAAAAAAAAAAAAAAAAAAAGAAAATATTAATTATTACTTTTTCATATATTTATTATAAACGGAATCGACAACATTTAAATGTTGCTCAAAGGCCCAGGTAGGAATTTGGGGATTTAAACTGCAATCAATTTCTATATATTATTTATATATTTTAATTACATTTACATTTAACCATTTTTTTTTTATCAACAATGATAATTCTATCCCTCTTTTTTTGTCTCTTATAATATATTTCCTATTAAATTTTTACTGTAGGATGATAATTTATGCATATTTTTTTTTAATAGTATCAGAATATGATTACTTGAATCGAACATGTAATAATGAATTACTTAATCAAAAACTTCATTGAGAGTGTATTAAAATAAGACAAACAAATAGAATTTATAAAAGAATGAAATAGAATAAAATTTTTTAATAAGATATTATTTCCTGAATTTTTTCTTTTGCTTCTTTTTTTTTCTTTCATTTTTCAATTTTAGATTCAACACAGGAACAGGTGCGTGTTCCAAATGTTATTGCATTAGCTGGTTTACCAGCTCGTGGCAAAACATACATTTCACATAAATTATGCCGATATTTAAATTGGATTGGAATTAAAACAAAAGGTCATTTTAGTTATTCATTAACATTTCGTTATTCGATATTTAATTCTTTTAAAATTTCATATTTAGAGAGATTGATCATTCCTTTATTGAACAAAATTATTCAATTATAAATTGCTTACAAAGACATTCATTTCAAATGAAATGAATGAAGTAAAATCAAGTAAAATTTAAAAATTATTTTTTAAAAATTATTTAAAAATTATAAATAGCCTAATTTTTGTAGCGTACAAACAAAAGAAAGAAATTGAAGAAAACTTACAAAGAAAAGTAAATTCAAATTTTTACTTTCAAAAAAAAAAAAAAAAAAAAAAAAAAAAAAAGAAAGAAAGAAAGCATAAAAAGATGAAAACAGCTAATTAATTAAGTTATTTTAGCATTTAATGTTGGCGATTATCGTCGAAAAGTATGCAGTACAGAAGATTGTGAATCACAATTTTTTAGTCCGTTTAATAAAATTGGCAGTAAAATGAGAGAGTAACTTTTTTTTTGTTTTTATTTCTTTTTTTCTCGACTATTTGCTATATTTATTATCATTTTTCGTTTTATTTTAACTGTCAATTATTTTATTTTATTTAATTAATTCTACTTATTTATAAGAAATCAAATAATAAATTATGAAAAAAAAAGTGACATTTTATTCTCTTTTTTTTGTGTTTGCTATTCATTTAATCAAAAATAACAAATGAAAAGGTTAACAAAATATTGGAAATAATTTCTTAAACTAATTTTTTTACTTATTAAATTCAAAAAAAAATTCTTTTCTCTTTGATCATTGATGTTCTTTCTTTCTTCTTTTCTTATTGTTTTCAAGCATTATTTAACATATTTGCTGTGCAAACAAAGCACACACAAAAAAAAAAGAAAGAAAAAGAAAGTTTGAAAAAGTACAAATAAAAGAGGAAAATATCAATAATTTATTATATTTAATGAAATATTATTATTTCATAATTTAGCAAAGCTAATGTAAAATTTTCTTTGTGACTGTTTAAATTTAAAAATTTCTCTTCTCTCTCTCTCTCATTTTTTTTTTCTAAGTTAACTTTTTTTTTTAGTGAATGTGCAAGATTAGCAATGGAAGATTTGGATCGTTATTTAACGAGTAAAGAGGGTGAAGTTGCTGTAAGTTTTATAAAAATTAATCCTTTTTCATTTCTTTTTTTTTTCTATCTTTTTTTCATAGGAATTTTTGAGATTGTAAAATGCATCAATCTTTTTTTTCAAGCTTCCTTTTCAGTATCATTAATTATGTTACAAAAGTTGCAATGATGATATTTCAGTCTATCATACATTTTGCTGAAACTTTTTTTTTTTTTCTAAGTTCAAATTTAAAAAAAAAAAAAAATTAAACAAGTTTATGTATTATTATTATTTCTTTTCCACTTTATATTCTTCATCAATAAAAAAAAAAAATGTTAGAATGAAATGCTATGTTTTTAAAAGCATTTAAAATAATTTCGAAAAACAGAAGAATGAAAAAAATGTTTGAATTATTTTTTCATGTTTGCTTTTTTCCATCTTACTTTTTTCCATCTTACCCTTTTTTTCTTCTATATAAAATAAAAAAAGAAAAAAAAAAAAACGTTGGAAAAAGCTTGAAATTTCGGTTTTTTTAAGGAATAAATTTGAAATACTATAAAATAATGTGAAAATAAATTATAATTAAAATGAAAGTCCATAAAAACTTTAATTTTATCCATTTTTCTCTTTTGGAAATAATTAAAAAAAAAAAAAAAAAATGCGCGAAATTATTTATAATGCAATAATTTTGCATAAATCTTTTGTGATTAACTATGAAATGAATGGAATGTTTAAGTCAAATGAACAAATTTCAATTTATGACAAATTAACATTTATTTTTTTTATTTTTGTTTTTTTGCTACCTTTCAATTTCATTAGCAGCAAAGATTCATTTTTGTTTTGTTTAGTTTTTGTAGTGCTGTAAAAAAAAAGAAAAAAAAAGGAATTTTGTGCATTGATTGATCGATCGATCGATCGATTAATTGATTTTTTTTTAAATGTTTTATCAATTTGGGATTATTAGAGTTTATTGAAATAGACATGAAAAATGAAAAGAGTATATTAATTGTGAGGGAGTACTGATTGATTAGTTATGAACGATTATTACTGATCGATTAGTTATACCTAAAAGTGTGAATTACATTAAAGGATAGGGAAGGGAAAAAGTATGCGACAGAGGTCAGATCAAGCGATATGACATAATAGAAGGTGAGATGAAGAGGTCAGGTGAAGCAAAGAGGCATAATCAAGGTGCGATAAGGTGATACAGAGGTCAGGTCAAATAAAAGAGCATGATCAAGGTGCGATAAGGTGATACAGAGGTCAGGTTAAATAAAAGGGCATGATCAAGGTGCGATAAGGTGACGCAGAGGTCAGGTTAAATAAAAGAGCATGATCAAGGTGCGATAAGCTAAATGATATTTTATCAATGAAAATTTCTGAGCTAAGAAATGAATTTAATGAATCGGTCCGTAAGAAAAGCAATAATAGAATAGTAATAGTGAAATTTACTAGCTTATCAAAAGATCAATAATATTTAATCTTTGCTAACAAATACATAAATATAAACATAACAAAAATAAATAAATGTAACAAAAAATAAATAAATAAATATTAAACATAACAAATATATGAAAGAATTATATTCAACAAAAAAAAAAAAAAAATGATAACAACAAATTTAAACTTTTTAAATTTAAACTGAAAGTTTTTCATTCAGGTATTTGATGCTACTAATACAACACGTGAAAGACGTCGTTGGCTAACTAATTTTTGTCACCGTGAAGATCGTGATCCACCATTTCGATTGTTTTTTGTCGAAAGTATATGTGATGATCCGGATATTATCAATGCTAATATTACGGTAAGTCTCATTTAAATTATCATTTTATCAGTGGCATAAATAATTTATTTAATAACACTAACAAAGCAACTTTTTTTTTTTTCATTTTGCCACTTTTTTAAATAAAAGTGATATTAAAAAATGTAAAAGGCCAATAAAAGATGATATATAAAAAAATTAATAATAATAGTATGAATTTCAGAATAACAAAAAAGTCAATAATAATATTTAAAAAAAAAAAAAACTAATATTGCATTTAAAAATTTAAAAAATTTCAACATATTTCAGTATTATTTTTTTGTTTTTTCATCTATTTTTTCCTCTTTGATTTTTTGATGAAATCAGGAATTAGCTTTTATGCTATATATTTGTTGAAAAGAATTGTTAAACAATTTTTTTTGCTATTATTTTTGTCAAAAATTTTATTACTAATAGAAAGAAAAAACAAATAAAAGAAAATAATACTAATAATTTGCTTCATTGATAGGAGGTCAAAGTTAATTCACCTGATTACAAAGGTCATATGACGGAAGAAGAAGCAAAGGATGATTTTTTGAAACGAATTGAAAATTATAAACTGCAGGTAATATTAGGTGTAAACAAATAAATTTGAAAAATTGTAAAATGAAAAATTGTAATGAAAAATTGTAAAACATACTTATTTCATTCATTTGATTTTAATTTTCAATTTAATTTAAATACAAATAATCGTAATTTAATGTTTATAGAAATAGGAAAAAGTGGAAACTTTTCTAATTTTATTTGAAACGTTGTATAAATGAATTATTAAGCGTAAGTTTATATTTATTACGTGTAATTATATATATAATACATTAAAGGGATTAATTAGCATTTTTAATTTCATCATTTTCGAATAAAATAATTGAAAATATCTCTTTTTTTAATTCTAGTATTGCTAATAATAACTGTTACATTTCCGATTTTATTTCTCTTACACGTTTAACACGTATGTTTTTGTATATCAACGTTTAAGTCAACATTTTGACGTACGCTTGATAGCTTATTCTCTAACTATCAAAGATGCAAATGGCTATTCATTTGCTAAAGACATCAACAAAATAATAATAATTTTGTGCATTTTCTCGAATAATTTTTGTAACATTTGATAAAATTATCACAATAATTAATTTTTAATTGTAATACAAACTGTTTAAAAAGTACTGAATTTTAAATTTGACAATAGACATAGACTTTTAATTTCTGTCATAGTACCATAAATTTATATGTATTTACTTTATGTATATTTACACAGTTAATTTCATATATTTTAGCTTTAAAATTAATTTCTGTAGAAAATTTCACATACTGATATTTGACTTTCGTGTTTTTTTTTTTTTTTTTTTTTTAAACAAATAACAAATGATTAATTGATTTAGATTAAAATATACGATCAAATAAATAATTTCATAATTAATGAATTTCGATAAATATTTAAAGAAAAAAATTACAGTATGAGCCAATTGATGATGAATTAGATGATGCATTATCATTTATCAAAGTTATCAATGCTGGTCGATCATTTTTTGTGCATAATGTAAATGGACATGTACAAAGTCGTGTTGTTTACTTTCTGATGAATATTCATCTACTGCCTCGCTCTATTTATCTTACAAGGGTAGATTTAATTTATTTTTTTTTTAAATTGTAGTTTAATTTAATTGAAATTCATTCATTTATTAATGTACTGCAATTTATTTACTTTTATTTTTTTGATTACTCTTTTTTTTTTTTGCTATAATTTATTCATTAACTATTTATTTATCTATTATTTATTTTCTCTCGTAATTTGTTTTGTTTTTTTATTATAATTATGTATTCATTTTTCTATAATTTATTTAATTATTATTTATTTAATTTTTCCTTTTTTCTTTTCATCTTTTTTTTTTTTTATTTCTGTACTTTTTCCTATTTGCATTTTTATGCGATTATTTTTTGTTTTGCTATTTTTTTTTATATTTTTATCATTCATATAGTAATTTTTCAAATATATGAAAATATTTCTTTTAATTTCAAATCAGCAAAAAAAAATTTTTTTTTTTTGTTTATTTTAGAAAATATCATTAGCATTAAATACAATGGTAAAAAAAATTGAAATGACTGATGCTAATCAAAAGAAATAAGATAAAGCATTATTTCTATGAATTCATATTTTTGATTTTTTAAAAAATCTTTTTATTTGCATGATTTATCTAAACAAAATTAAATTGAATTTAGTTTTTACATATTAAATAATGTTGATATTTTCTAATATATATATTTTTTTTAAGCTTATTCTTGTCTCCATGTTATCAATTTCTTTTTTATTTCCTATTAAATTTCATTCCTTTTAAATTTTACAAAATGTTATGTTTAAATTGTTATGAAATACTATTAGGTGATTGAATTTTGTTACAAAAATTTTTATAGCATGGTGAGAGTGAATATAATCGAATTGGTAGACTTGGCGGTGACAGTCCATTAAGCGCTAATGGCATTGAATATGCTAAAAAATTACGGGAATATTTTAAGGTTTTTCTAAGATTTTTTTTTCAAACTTTAATACAAAAAATATTATTTTGGGAACAAAGGCTAAATGATAGTCATTTATTTTATTGATGCAATAATCATTTTCGAAATTTAATTTCTGATGTTAGCGCAACTATTTGTTCAGCTTATAGAGAAAATATTCACTAGATGAATTGTCTGAAGTTGTTTTAATCATACTAATTAATTCAATTATCAGTATAGCTTTTGTTATTTTTTTTTTTTTAAATTTATTAGTTTAACAGAAAGTGAAATTGATAATTATGAGATTGAGAATTGTGAAGATAGTTTTGAAGATAGCTATAATTTACTAGTAATATTCTCGTTTGATAATTTGAATTTGATTTATTGAAAATGTAAATATTAAAATTTCAATTGCATATTTGACATTTTAACTTTGTTTAATTAAATCAATGTTTTTTTTTTTTTTTGGAATATTTTTAGGCTGAAAAAATACCGGGTGATCTTAGAATTTGGAGTTCACAAAAAATTCGTGCAGCACAAACGGCTCAACAATTAAGTGATTTAGCAGCACATATTGAATTTCTTAAAGTACTTGATGAAATTGATGCGGTATGTTTTGATTGTTTATTTGTTTGTTTGTTTTTTTTTTTTTTTTTTTTAATTTATATGATAAGACAAAATTTAAAGTTTCTTAAATTCGAAGATTCCTTTTTCTTCTTTAGAATTTTCTTTAATATATTTTATTTTTTTTTTTTTTTTTGGTAGAAAAAAAAAATAATTTTCTCATTCAAAATTTTAATTAAAACATAAAAAAGTGAATGAAGTTAAAAAAAAAAAAAAAAAAAAAACAAATTTAGGGTATTTGTGAGGGTTTAACATACACCGATTTTGAAGAGCGTTATCCAAAACAGTTTGCTGATCGTGATAGAGATAAATATCATTATCGATATCCATCAGGTGAAGTAAGTTAATTTTTTATTCTTTTATAGTTTTAAAAATGAAAGTAGATAATAAAAAAGAACAATGAGTAATAATAATTTATAGTATTTTTTTTTTTTTTTTTTATTCAAACATTGATTTTTATATCAATAATTAACTATAATACAATACTGATTTAATAGATATTTTAAAACATATTTTTATTTTTACTTTTTATTTATTGTTTAATTGTTTTTTTTCTTTCTTTCTTTTCTCCCTCCCTCTCTCTCTCTCTCTCTCTTTCTCTTTTTAGAGTTATGAAGATTTAGTTGGTCGTTTAGAACCAGTAATTATGGAACTTGAACGACAAAGTAATGTACTTGTTGTATCACATCAGGTATTCTTACTTTTTTCTTATAGTCCTGAAAATGTTGCACTCTTAGTTTAAATTTTAAAAAAAAATTTTTTTTTTCCGTTTCTTGTCTCTTGTTTTCATATTTAATTAATATTGTTCTTTTCTAACTAATTTAGATTATTTAAATCGCTGTATTTAGTCATTTAATAAATGAAATTACTATTATTATTATTTTTTGCTATTTTTAAATTTAATTATATGCTTGTGACAATAAGTTGTAATAAATATTATTATATTATTATGTAAATAATATTTGTAAAAAAAAAATTAGCTAACTTCTTTTGATTTTTCATTGATATTAAGATAGCATTGTTTACTTCTTTATTCACTCAATTTTAGGCTATTTTACGCTGCATTTTGGCTTATTTCGATAATAAAAATTACTCGGAGTTACCCTACCTTAATGTCCCATTGCATACTGTTATCAAACTAACACCAAAAGCCTACAGTTGTCAGGTAGAAATGTTTAAATTTAAAATAGATGCAGTGAATACTTATCGAACGAAGAAAGGTCAACAAGAACCTCTTGTAAGTTATCATTTATATACTCTCTTTCTTATTTTAAATAAAATAATAAATAAAAGTGTTGAAAAAAAGTATTAAATTGTTAAATTTTAGTGAGCTAACAATTAACAATAAAACCATAACTAACAGTTAGCAAATTGTTAGACAATTAAAATCAAGCAAGCATTTAGGAAAAAGTGTTTAATAATTAAATTTTAATCTTCAAATTAATTGTATATTCTATCATACTACGATGAAAATCTTTTAAATTTAGCATAAATAGCTTATAAAATAATTGTACATATTTCATAGTTATGTTTCATTGACTTTTTAACAGCAAACAAATAAAGAAATATAAGCATAAAAATGTTTAATAATTTGAAAAAGTAATTTGGTAAAAAAAAATGAATGAATAAAATAAAACAAAGTAAACATCAATGAAAATGTTAGTAAGTCATTTTAATAGGTCAATTATGGTATATTGCAATGAATCGCAGTTGAAATTTCCCTAATACCTTTCTTAATAAATACAACCTCATTATTATCATTATTACCACTCTTATTATCGTTATTATTATCATTATCATTGCCATTATTAAATTATTATTATTATCATTGTTATTATTATTATTATTATTATTATCATTATCATATACAAATCTATCTTGCCGCAACACTTCATTTCAGTGGGAAATGTCAAACGAAGCAAAACTTTGTCATTCACCTTGGTAAGTTTTATTTTACTGATTCTTTATGTTTTATTAAATAAAATTTAATAAACAAGAAATAAAGAAAAAATTTTTATTTTTAAGAAATTAAAAATATTAGAAAAGAAACAAAATAACCAATTATGAATCACTAAAATGTGCTAATTCCTTTATTAAATGAATAGCTTTTATAAAAAAATCAATCAGTGCTAAAAAGTGATAAGTCAATTAGTTAATGTTTACTAAATCAGAAATTAGCCAGTTGGTTTTTTTTTTTTTTTGATGATTAGCAATATGTTTAATTTTTTTTTGCTTTTTTCTTGTATATGTATTTATTCACCGCTATATTCAAAAACAGATTTCGTAAATATTTTATATTTATTTATTTGATATATTTCTGTACCGAATTGGTAAACAAATAAATGAACAAATAGCCAATAAACAAATAAACAAATAGCAAGTAAATAAATGGGTAAATAAGTATGTAAATAAAAGCGATATAATAGCTGCAGCTTTATTTATTCTTTGATAATTAAACATAGCCTCAAATTGTTATTGAATAAAGATTTTTAAAGAAAGAAAAGCAAAAAAAAAAAAAAATAAGAAATGTTATGTCACAAAACTTTTAGTCGAAAAAAACGAAAAATTGAATGAATTAAAATGAATAATTAAATTATGTAATGAGACTTTAAATGAATAAATGTTTTTAAAAATAAAACAGAGATATGCCTTTTGCTTTTTTTTAAACATTTTTAAGTGAATGGTATAACAGCATAGTTTCGGTGTCACATCTGTTGTGACATTTAAATCTAAAGAAAACATTTTAATCTCTGTCATACATTCATGTGGTATGAATATTTATGTTATTTTTTATTTTGCATGTGCATTTTTCATCGATTATCATCAACGTGTTCTGCGTCTAAAATTAAGCTTTTGTATTTTGTCAATGTCTGAAGTTAAATTTTTGTTTGGTTTAAGCTTTTATGCTATCGCATTAGCATGAATTGATAGTTAGTTGCTATTAGCCATATTTTTTTGATTTTTTTTTTTTTTATTTCATTCAAATTATTTATTTAAATTCGTAATTGTTCTCTGTTTTTCCCTATCACTACAAATTAATTAAATTGTTGACAGATGTAATTGTTTGATTTTCTAAACAACATTGAGAAGATGATGATATTACTCATTAACTGGTTATTAAGCAAATATTCTAATACAATCCATTAATCAGCTAGCAAAATGAAATGATTAGAATTTAGGTTCGTTCTTCATATAACATTAGAAATTCAATTCTTATTAAATTTTTTAAATTATTGAAGCATTAATTCTTCAATCAAAATTATTCCTGATGAATCGAAATTTTTGGAAAATGTATTATTTCATTTCCAATTTCTCTTTTTTTTTTCGTTCACTAAGCATTCAAACTCTTTATAATTTGAAATTATTTTCCTTGCAATAATATGGTAATTATTATATTAAGACAATACTAATTATTATTGCAATACTAAATAACGATATTTCATTGACATAAAAAAAGTAAGAGATTGTTAGGTGAATAATTGTTAAATTTTTCCCAGTGATCTTTGACGTACAATACGACAGTTTAAAGTTAATCATTCTTTCATTTCCAATTTTTTCTTTCTTCTTTCTTCACTAAACTTAACCATGTATCACGTCATACTTATCGTCAGCATACCAATACATTTTTTAAAATAAAATGTTTGATGATTTTTGTTTGAAATTCAATTATTTATCATATCTTTGTTGTCAACCAATGATTACTTTCAATTCTCTCATCTACTACACTTTTATTTCATATTCTACTGCAAGCATTCCATTATTTGATTTCATTTTTGTTCTATAGCTTCTCTTTGCTTTCTACAAAATGTTACAGTAATAATCTTACGGTAATGATGATTTTACAGTAATAAGAATGACAAAGGAAAAAGAAAAAAAAAAAAAAAAAAAAAATGGAGTGGAAAAAAATTGCAACCAATGAAGGAATATACTAAAAAAATTAATAATAATTTAAAAAATCAATAAAATTTTAAAATATAGAATTAATAATAACTTAAATTAATTAAATATAGAGTAAATATGCATGGCATATTAATATTTGCAATTATGTTATTTTATTTTTTATCACTTTCTTTAGCTTAAACTTCCTTTATGCCTTTAAATGCTTTAATGTAATTAAAATAGTTTCTTAATTAATTTATTTTTTCTGCATTTATCTTTTTTCTTTCTTTTCAGATAATTCCTGACAAAATAAAATATTAACAAAAAACAATGTTTAAATGGTATATTCGAGATTAAACGATCAAATGGTATAGTGTATATATATATATGTGTATTTATTCCTTTATCGTTCAATTATCGAGTGTTGCTTCCTTTCGATAATTAATTATTACTATATGCAAATACGATGGAAATTACAAAATACGAAGTATTATTTGTTTCACATCTACTAACTGAAAGGAACGAATCGATGGGAAGAAGAAAGGAAGAATAAATTTTAAATGTAAATTTATTTCTTATCATATATATGCTTAAATTTAACAGCTATTTTCTTCCAATTCCTCTTTTTTTTTTTTTTTTTGAAACTTTCCTGATCAGTACTTTATTTTTCCCTTCTCATTCTCTGTCTTTTTGTCTCCCTTTTCGAATTATTAATAGATTTTTACTAATTATATATTTATATAATTATTATCACTAGTACTATCAAAAAAAGGTGAAAAATAAAATGCAAAAATTTTGCAGTTTTTTTCTATGTTGTGAATCGTCAAATCACTCTCATTAGTATTATTTTTGTTAAATTAGTTTGAAATTTAATTGTTTTTATGAAACAATTTCATTCTTCTCAATAAGGGAATAAAATTTGAAAAATTCAAATTTCAAATATTCAGTTTAGATTTTTATGCTATAACTGGGCAATTATTGGCTAAACTAAAACTAACTAATACTAAGTAAATCGGTTGCCTAGCAATACTATATCATGTTTGCTTTTTCCACGTAAAAATCACTTGTGTACATTTTCTGCGTGAAAACAAAATTTCAATAAATTTCGAATTTTTTGTTGAATTTTTTTTTTTTTCTTGAAATTCAATAATAACAATAATATTTTTGAAAAATGTGTCGTATTTTTGTTTTTTGCTATTTTTGTTAAATGTTTTCAAAATTTTAAAACCGTTTTTGAAAATGTTAAATTGGAGTGAATATAATTGGAAAGTATTGTTAAAATATGTCAATAACACTTTTCAAGGAGTTAAATAATTTTTAATTTAACTTTTAATATAAGTGTGCCATTGAAATAGGAACATTTCCATCATCTCTCTCTCTCTCTCTCTCCCCCTATTTTCTCTCTTTTTCTTCTTTTTTTTTTTTTTTTTTGAATGAAATTTATCGGTAAACTGTGAAATAAAAAAATTTTTGAATTAAATTAATCTAAAATATTTGTCTTTTTCCAATATAATTGCATTTTTCTTTTCATATTTTCAAACTTATTTCTCTTTAATTTATTTTTTTACCTTTTTTTGGAAATGTGCATTGTAGCTCTAATTTTTGAAATTGTAAGCCAAGGTTTATTTTAATGTATGTGAAAAGATGACTTGAAATGATATTTTATAAATGCTTCTCTTTCTCTCTGTTCTGCCATTCTCTCCTTCTATATTTGTCCTATGCTATTTCATAAAAAAAATTTATGGAAACAAATTAATTTCTTTCTATTTCGTCTTTAATTGCATATCTTTCATGAAAAAATGACCATACAAATCAATTAAACTAAAAGATACTTCCACTCACTTTTTCAAAAAATGAAAAATCTGATTAAAATTTAATTATTCTAATCTTTAATATATAACATCCAATATCATGAAAGCAATTTGTTAGAATCAATGGTAAAAATTTCACTCAATAAAATTAAATTAATCTTATAGTTACTTCAGTTATTCAGAAAATACTTAAATTAATTGTGCTATTGTAAAATTTCTGTCATCTTTTTCTTCGTTTAGACGAAAAACATTCACTTGAAGGAATAATGGCGAAATGATTTGATCGATATGATGATATGACCATTTCTATTTCATTTTCATTTCCTTATCATTTAAAGTTCTTTTCTCATTGTAAGCGGTGCTTTCTTTTATTCCCTTACTTTTTTTTTTTAAATTTCAAATTTCGGTCATTTTTTTAAATTTTTTTATGATAGTTAATTATGAGGAAGAAAATAGTTTATCATGTAAATAGTATCATTTAATAGTCTCTCCCACCCTCTCGCTTCTCTCTCTTGTTCCCTTTTCCTCATTTAATTTCATAATTGTATCTTAAACTGAAATTTTTTCTTACTAGGATGTTACTTTGTTGTATGTTTACGAATTTATTATTAGAATTAATACTATTCTAAGTTATTCTTTCATGTTTTGCATATTAATAACACATATAATATAGACAGAGACGTGCGCAAACAGCCACGCACACGCACACGCACACTTCCGCACAGACAAATGGGTCATGACGTATCAGTATGGGTGCACACCTTGCTAGCCAAATGGGTCATGACGTATCAGTATGGGTGCACACCTTGCTAGCCAAATGGGTCATGACGTATCAGTATGGGTGCACACCTTGTTAGCCAAATGGGTCATGACGTATCAGTATGGGTGCACACCTTGTTAGCCAAATGGGTCATGACGTATCAGTATGGGTGCACACCTTGTTAGCCAAATGGGTCATGACGTATCAGTATGGGTGCACACCTTATTAGCCAAATGGGTCATGACGTATCAGTATGGGTGCACACCTTGTTAGCCAAATGGGTCATGACGTATCAGTATGGGTGCACACCTTGTTAGCCAAATGGGTCATGACGTATCAGTATGGGTGCACACCTTGTTAGCCAAATGGGTCATGACGTATCAGTATGGGTGCACACCTTGTTAGCCAAATGGGTCATGACGTATCAGTATGGGTGCACACCTTTGTTAGCCAAATGGGTCATGACGTATCAGTATGGGTGCACACCTTATTAGCCAAATGGGTCATGACGTATCAGTATGGGTGCACACCTTATTAGCCAAATGGGTCATGACGTATCAGTATGGGTGCACACCTTGTTAGCCAAATGGGTCATGATTATCAGTATGGGTGCACACCTTATTAGCCAAATGGGTCATGACGTATCAGTATGGGTGCACACCTTATTAGCCAAATGGGTCATGACGTATCAGTATGGGTGCACACCTTGTTAGCCAAATGGGTCATGCAATACTCATTTTGATATTCATTAACTGTCATAGTCCAGTGTTTTTGTTGTTGGATAATATAGTGTTGCGATGTGGTATCGATAGCGATTTTCATGATCACTCCGCGGTTTTTGATTTTGAATTTACTGCATTTGAACAAGGACATTTTTCATGAAAATTTGTGGTAAAATTTGGATTTCAAAGTTATTTCCAGCCAATTTCATAATGCTTTCTTCCGCTATTCAATGGGATATTAATATCATGAAATTTAGAAAGTAAATAAATAAAAAAAAGAATCAATTTAATATGTGCAACAATGGGTATCATTGTAAAATTATTCATGAAATATCAAAAAAATGTAATCAACCAACTTTCAGTAAACAAACAAGTGAAACAGACAAACAAAACAGTCGATACGTTGGTATTTTAGCACAGTTCGGATTTCCGGAACTTTCACATTTTATCATTTACTGAAGCGATTCTATCATGTCATTTTCAATTTTTGAATTTTTCTGATTTATTTTAGTGGCAAAAAGAGGGAATTATCTCACTTATTTTTGTCTTTCTTCCTCTCATCAAAATATACTGAAGATTAAATCTAGAAAGACACCTTTTTTTTTTTCAGTTTTAGATTGCATATTCTATTGTTTCTAGCATATTCCGTCATATATCATTCCAATAAATTATTTCAAATATATTTTGCCATATGCTATCCCGACAATTATTTTTAAAATATGTTGTTTTCTAATATTCCAGTAAATTATTTGCAATATATATTCCGTTCTCCGTTTCTTCTTGTATTCAATTTATATGTGTGCATAAAAACATTATGCAACAAGAAAACTTGTTGATGATCGATTTATAAGCTACCCAAAACTCTGCCTCACTACAATTCTCCCCGTACTACTACCTTTCTCCTCTCATTTTTCGTAGAATCACCGCGATTGCTTTTATGAATTTGTTAGAAAATTATAACGAAAAGATGATTGATTGATTGTATCAATGTTGTTTGTTTATAGAATTCGTAATGAAAGCGATGTGAATCATTTTGAAATGGCGAAATGTTTGTTAAATGAAAGAAATGAAATGAAAGTAAAAGACGATAGGAATTAATCTGCAATACCTTTTGTTATTGTTTACAACTTTTATCATTTATTATTATTATTATTGTTATTATTATTACCATTATTATTATTATCATTATTATTATTAACATTATTATTATCATTATTGTTATTATTATTACTATTATTATTATTATTATTATTATTATTATTATTATTATTATTATTATTATTATTATTATTATTATTATTATTATTATTATTACTATTATTATTATGATTATTGCTATTGTTCTCACTGCCACTACCTGTTTTTGCCTCCCTTTCAGGTAGTAGTTAATTATAATTAACTAGTAGCAGCAATAGTAATAACTAAGAATAATATTGCTTATTTTATAATATATGATATTTATATCATTGGATAGACAGCTAACACATATTGCATTTTTTTTTTTCTCCCTTCCTTCTGCTTTTTAAAATGGTTTTTTTTTTTTAGTTTTTATCATTTTCGACCAAAAATAAAAATTGAATGTATTGTCAAATTTTAATTTGCTTTAAACCATTTTCTTCATCTATAATTTAAGAATATGCTTAATGAGCAGAAAATGCAATTAATAATTAATCTTCACTTATTATATACCTCAAATTATAATATAACTGCAATTATTGCATGCTTTTAAAAAAAGTAATATTACTGATAATCGAGTAAGTTCTGTATCTTATCAATCAATCATGTTTGTGCATTGACACCGTAGGAATTCAGTATTGCGAATCAGATGCAAAAAGTATTTTAAAAAAACTTTATTTTAGAATTCGATTAATTTATGCATAAATTTTTGCTAATATTTATTCGTTTCTTTATAGTAATAAGTAAACTTAAAATTGTAATGTAAGCATGAAATGCATTTCTATTTTCGAATGTATAAGAGAAATTTTTAAAATTCAAAAAATATCTTTATTTCTCTTCATTTTTTCGAAATTTTAATTTGCGATATTTTTTTGAATTGTAGCTAATGAACTCACAATTTGCAATTTTTTTGCCTGTTATATTTCTGAATTTGATTTAATTTTCGAATTTGCATATGTTCTATTTGTTCTTCTAATTATCGATTTCAAATTTGTAAAAAAAAAAAAAAAAATATGCAATTGGTTTTTTCTTCTTTTCACGCATAATTTTAACATTATCAAAAATTTACAAAATGGAAATGAAGATTTGAAAAATGACAATTAGGTGGTAAAATTAATTTTACTAAAAGCAAATTGATTGACTTTCTATATTTTTATTTTACAATCAAATTAATTTCAAAGGAATGAATGAATTAAGTGGTTGAAAATGAACGAATAAGACGATTTTAAATAAAACTTTTTTATCTCTCATTTCAATCATTGCTTTTCTTCCTTCCTTCTCTCTTCTCTTCTTTCATCTTTTCCTTTTTTTCCCTTCTGTGAATTTATTTTCCATTGCATATATGTATATTTTTACTACAAAAATCTATTCATCAATTTAGAATTGAGAAAGAAAAAAAGAAAATTTCATTTCTTTTTCAAATTCATCGGTGTTCTTTTCTTTCTTCCATCCTAATAAATTTATGAAAATAAATGAGAAATTATAATGTTTTCATGAAATTTCACTTATTTTATATTTGTTTACTTCGTACATATGTGTGTATACATGCACACATACACACACATACACATGCATACACATACACATACACAGACACACATAAACATGTACGTATAAATAGTATTTAGAAATTTTGATAAGTTTTTAATTTGTTTTTATTTTCATTGATACAATTTAGACTAATATATTGTATGTGATAAATTATTGATCTGATTTGAATTTGTTGTTAAAATTGAATTTTCTCTTTTAAAATGACTGAAAAAATTTTACAGTTCTATCAAATTTCATAAACATATACAAATAATTTTGTTTTTTTTTTTTTTTTTTTTTTTTTTTTGTAATAAGTTTTAATTTTAGTGCTAAGGATGGTAATTTTTGCTTCATTCTGTTTTTTTTTTGAAGTGAAATAAATTTGCATTTTTTGCAAATTTATAAAAAGTTTAAGGCATAATTTTCTAACTGTTTGAAAATTCATTCGTTAATTATTGGTTTTTTTTAAATCTAAAAAGTTAATCAAAATTGCAAATTGTTTTATAACTTTAGCACTGCAGAATCGTTTTATTCTTCTACTGCATCTTTCAATTTTGCAATATGATAATTTATTAATTAAAAGGAAAAAAAAATGTATTCCAAGTAAGTTATATTTCATTTTATGTCTAAATTTCAGTAAATTTCATATTTCCTAAAATAATTCCAATATTAGATTAGTAATTTCAATTATTGATTATTTGTTTACTTTATCATTTCATGTATTTCCGTTGCAACATCATTATCAGATATTTTTAGCTAATTAATAAGGCAACCTAAATTGATATATTATAAACTTTTATAAGAAAAAGATGTCTTTTGAGTGTTTAACTTTTTAATATTTTACTTAGAATTTCTATTTTCTATCCTAATTATAAATTATAATTGAAATATTATACATACATATTGTTTTCCAGAAGAAATGAACTTCCCGTAGCAGACTTTCTCTCATCCAGGGAAACCTACGAGAAATACGAAAGGCCACGTAGCGGTACTTTTAGTCCTGTGCCTATTTCACTTGCGAGTGTCACACCTGTAACCTACCTCAATGTAACCTAAATTTATTAAAATCATTATGTTTTTTTTTTTCTTTTTTTGAAAAAGGACTTGAATTAATCCATGTTAGGATTGAGATAAGTTATTTCAATATATAACAAAATTAAATTTTCTTCCTTTGATGTTTTTGCATAAAAAATAGTGCTATCAATTTTTAATTCATCATACTTTTTTCACTTTACTGTTTAGCATATCCATCAGGCATTAATTAAATTAACGTTTATTTGTTAAACATAATTACAATTATAATTTCTTCTTCAAATGATCTATCATTTTATAAACAAAAAAAAATTATTTAGGAATATAAGATTGTTACACGGACTCCGGTACCTCAAGATGAAATAATGGTGCAAATGCCATATGAAAAAATTAAAAAAAAAAAAAAAAAAATTATTTAGGAATATAAGGTTGTTACACGGACTCCGGTACCTCAAGATGAAATAATGGTGCAAATGCCATATGAAAAAATTATCTCAAAACAAAATTTACAAACTCTAACAAAAAAGCGAAGTTAGTTTTTATTTTCATATATGGTATTATTTAACGCCCGAAAAAAGATTAAAATTTTAATGTAAAACTTATGGAAAGAAATATATACAAACTTTTTGGATAATCAAAAAAAAAAAAAAAAAAAAAACCACAAATTATCAATTTTTCTTAAACGTCTTAAATTATTTACATTAAAAAAATTTCAACTTTCCTGACTTTTTGAGTTTCTATGAATTAATAAATGAAATGGTCCCTTTCTTTTATAATGAATAGATAACATAATTATAAATTAATCATTCTAATTTTACCTTTTATTCTTTTCTTGCAGTACCATTTGGTCGTGTAGTAGCAGCTGCTATTGCTATACCATTATTCATTATGTTCTTCTTATTCATCGCTATATGGTTTCAAGAATTGGGTTTCATTTGAAATTTATTACAGTACTCATTCATTACAGTATCAGTTGATGGTATTAGTCTATCAAATAATATACGGTAGTAATATAAGCTACATTATTGAAAGATACAATTGATAAATGATTGATTGATGAAGCAATGAATTAAATGAAACTAATATTCAAGAAACAAAATTGCTTTCATATAATTAATTGCTTATTTAATTTATATATTTTTAATTCAAATAAATCTTTCCAGAAATTTCTCCCATAAAAACAGTTCACGTAAGCTCACGTATGCTTAAAATATCTCTGTTGTATTTACACTTTTAGCTGATCCTTGATTTTTTTTCTTGTTTTTCAAGAATATTTAAAATATTTATTATACACAGGAATGGTAATGCTGCCAATTTTACGTGTAATTGATGTAATTAGATTCTTAATTCCATATTTTCTGATTATTTTCAGGCAATATCTTCAGATCATACATTTATTTTTTCTATAATATTAAGTCAACTATTTATAAGCAGTATATAACATTAAGTTTATTCCTACTTAATTAATAAGCTAACATTTTCGTTAATTTCAAATATAATTCGAAAAGAAATATATACAAAAGATATTTAGATCCTTTCCCAAACGTTATAATTTAAATATGTAAAATGTAAAACAATTATTGGGCAAATATAGTGGTGCTGCTAATTTCACATAATATACCAATTTTAAAAATGTTTTTTTTTTTTTTTTTTTTTTTTTTCGGTTTTTGCTTTTTTGTTTGTTCAGTTTTTCATTCATATTGTTAGCTATAATAATTGTTTGTGGTATGTAACATTAAATGAATAAATTTTTTTAATTGTTCATGGCTAACTCTGACAAAAAAAAAAAAATAAAAATAAAAATAAACAAATAAACAGGAAAAGATAAAGTTTAACAGCAATTAATTATTGTTAATTCAAAACAACAATAATAGCAACAAAAGAACACAATCAAAGTTATCTAAATATGTTGCAATGTACTTGTTGATTTAGAATAAATTTTTAAATCTAACTTACTAATAAAGTGAAAAATGAAGAAAGAGATGAAAGAACAAAATGTTTTTGTTGCAAATTTTTGTTCAACATAAATATTTATTTGTTCTTTAGTAAAGAAAAAAATCTGCTTAAAAGAATCATTGAAGAAGGAAAAATGCTAAAGTTAATCAAAAATTTCATTCTTAAAAAAAAGCTTCCATTCAAAAAAAAAAAAAAGGAAAATTTGTTATTAGCAACAATTACTTTTCCTAAAAATGTTTATAAGTTTTAAAAATAAAAGAAGGAAAAAATCTAATTACTTTGCATACATTTTATTTGTTTCACTCATTTGTTTATGCTATAATAATTTTTATTAAAACAAAGTAAATAACTTTTTTTTCCTAATTTGTAAAAATAAGATTCTAAAAAAAAAAAAAAAAACTAATCAATAATTCTGGTTCATAACATATTTATTATTTATTTTTTTTCATTTCATTATTGTCACTTTATGTACATATTTATTAGTATTATTATGATAACTATACATTTGTGTATGTGCAATTATCATATCAATGCACGAACAATAATGAAATGAAATGAAATAATCATCGTTTCTTCTCCAATTACTCTCATATTTTCTAGTCATAAAAACCTTTTAATGAGATGTATCGTCGTCATATGTTTCAGTGTAAACAAATTTCAATTCATCCCAGTTAATGTTTATTATGTACAAATATTTTGTTGTATAACAGCTGATTCAATTGTTGCTATTTTTCCCATTTCGTTTTTTTTTTTTTAATTTTTATTTTTTATTTTAATTTCGAAAAATTCCAACTTTTCAGCATTAAATTTTTGCAAAATTCCACACTGCAAATTTATTAATTTTAATTGAAAATATGAAATAATTTTCATAATATCCATGATTTTGCATTTAATACGATTAATTTAATCATTTTTTATTTGATAATTTTGATGTAATATCAAACAAACTAAAAATTTTTTGCTATTTGTTTTGTTTTGTTTCTTCCTTATTCTAAAATATTATCAAATAAAAAAATTGTGAAATAAATTATTAATAGTTTTTTTCTTTGGACAAATTTATTTAGGTAATTTTCACTATTTTCGTCATTTTAGTGAAAGATTAGTTATTGTTCATAATCTATTCTCATTTTAATAAAAAAAAAAAAGTTCATAAATGCATGAAGCAAATATTCATTTCAAAACTTAAAATTTGAAGCATTTTTTTGGAATACACTTGAAAAATAATCCATCGTCTAAATGATAAGAATGATAAAATTACTTAAATAAGTCTGCTAAAAAAAAAAAAAATTATCATTCTCTCTTCCAAAAAAAAAAAAATTTCATTCTCATATTAAAAACTTAATTTTTTTTTTTTTTTAAACTTTTGCTCTTTTCTTTTTCTTCTAATCCAATGGCACACATATAATTCCTTTCTTATTTTCCTTTACTTTTCAATTATTCCAATTTTTTTTTGCACACTTATTCATATATAAATTTTTTTAATCCATTAAAAATTTTTTTCATTGTATAAAGTATTTGAATAAAAATAATTTGTTACGATCCATCGAATTAAAATTACGCATTAATTAAATTTAGTAGCAAAGATTAAGCAATTGTTGGATCAAATATTAACTTTTTATACGATTATAGAAATTGAAAAATAGATGAAATAAAACACACACACATATATACACATACACACATACACACACATATACGTACACATACATACACATACATATACATACATACACACACACATACATACACATACACACATATACATACACATACACACACATACATACACATACACACACTGCACATTTCAGGTTTTCTCTGTTTATTGAAAAACACCAAATGCATATTCTCCATTCATTAATTTCATATTTGAATTTTATATTTAACCAATAATTGATCTTCCTTTCCTACTTTTCCTTTTTGTAAAATTTATTTGCTACAATAATTTAGCTTAATTAAGCTAAGCTTTCATCAAATATAGCAAATTCGATATTTCTAACATATTTTTGGAATTAGATATGGTATTTCTCTTCTTTTTTTTTTCAGAAATATCATAATTCTCCATTTGATGAATTTGTTTTAATTTTATATTATTAATATCATTGATAAATGAATGAGAGAATGAATTAAGCGAAATAATTCAATTAATTAATTTCATAGATTTCATGTTAATTAATAATATTTGACAATTATTCGATTTATTAGAACGGAAATATCTGGTATATCTTGAATAGAACAATCTATTGTATTCAAGAATTTCCAGAAAAAAGAAAATGTCAATTTTATTGAATACTTATTGGATGCCTTTTCCAAAATTTCCCCTTATAATGATTATTGCGGGTATAGTAATTAATTGCAGTGGTAATTGTTAGATGAAAATTTATCATTTGATCAAAAATTTCAAAAATATTTGTTGATTTTTTGAGACAGAAAAAAAAAACAAAAACAAAAACAAAAATGAAAATTAAGGAGGAGAAAAAATTGTAAACAATTCTATATGAAATATTTGTAAAATTATCATCTGATAATAATTTTATTTATGAGTAATTTTTCATTTCAACTAAACAATGTAAATATTAGTTACATAAAAATTGTAATGATCAAAATGTATTTACTGATAACATCGCTGATAACAAGTAAATATGTTTTGATAATACAAAACTGTTATCATCACAGTAAGAAAAAATTTAATAGTTTGAAAATTCACACAAAATTATTCCTACCTTGATCAAATTTAATTTCTAATTTTCTTATTTTTATTCTTTCCTTCCTTTTTTTTAGAGTTAACAGTTAATTAACAAAAAGTTTTTATTTTCAACTGAATAAAAATTTTTTAAATCCTCTTTTTTCCTTTCACTATTGACACTAGAAATTTTGCATTGAAAACATTTGTTATTGATGAACGATTTACAAGCATTTTCTCTTTTTTTTTTTCTCGCTTCTTTTAAATGTCATAAACTTTTTCCACAGAAAAGAAAATTTAGTTTTACTTTAAATAAAATTATTTAAAATTAAAAAAAAAAAAATATTTATTCAAGTTTTTTTTTTTTAATAGCTTTTTTCTTTTTCCTTTAAATTCATTAGCATTTTCAATTCATTAGTTCAATTCATTTCAATTTGACGCCATAATTGGATTTCCGATTTTGTATTAATGCAGTCATATGGTACTAATTACTAGTTATTCAAGAAAACAGATTAGAATAGCATAAATGGTAACAATTTTTAAATACAGTGAGAAGAAATTTTAAAAATCTATGATAAAATTAAACTGCTAAAATTTCATACATTATATTTCATAGTACTGCTGATTCTATTTTCTTTTTTTTTTTTTGAAAAAAAAGAATTATAGAGAGTTGTACTAGAGTTCTCAACAATTAAATAAATTTTTTAAAGTTTTCTTGGTTTCACTTTCCTGAAATTAGAATTTATTTCCCAGAAGATCTATAAATATCACCAATAATTATTTCAGGTCTTTATCTATCTATCTATCTATCTATCTAGTTTAAACTTTCTTCCAAAAGATGCAGCATTTTACACGATTAGTTTGTTTACTCGAATACGCAAGCATCACTTAAGTATCAATAACTAATTCGACGTGATCGTTGATACTTGAATCTCGAGTACTGATATGTATATGTATCAGCAGTTATACTTATTTTTAGCCAACGGAAAACATTTTTTACAACTCATTTTTTCGACAATTATTTATTTATTTTATGTAACGAGTTTGTGCAAATAAAAAGATAGTATTTATTTTAAAAAAAAAAGTCATTTCCAAAAATTTTGAAAATAAATTTTTTTTAATCATCTACTAATTTCGATGTTTTGATTGGATCATAAATTAAACTGATTCGCTTTTGTCCTATGCTAATACTTACTGTTGCTTTGTTGTTGCATTTTATCTCTCCCTCTCTTTTTTTTTTTTTTTTTTTGAGGAAAGAAAGATGAAAAGAAGAGAATAAAAAAAAGTTATCATTTTCAGATATGCTTTTTATTCCAATTCTTTTCACATAAACTTTTCCATTTAAAACTTTTCAAACAAACTTTCTATTTATGAAGTACAGATCGAAGATAAATAAAGTAACAATAACAATTTTTCTCAAAAACAAAATAAGCTAATTAAAAAAAAAAAAAACGGAAAGGAAAAGCAAAAAAAAAGATTCAAAAACAAACGTTATTCTTTTCTACTCGAATTAACACATTTCAAAATAACTTTTTCAACTGGATGACAAGTTTTTTCTCCTTCATCGTGTACTTTTCTTTTTTTATTTTTTGTAAATTACTTAGATAAATAATAATCGTAATTTTTATAATCATACCTTTTCACCTCTATTAATTATCTCGTTTTTAAAATTATCAATTATATTCCAGCATCTTGACAATAATTTTCGTTAACGAAGAAATGCAGCTGTTCAAAACTTCTCCCATTTCCCATGTTATTCATCCAAATTAAAATACATCAATTATATTATATTCTAATTCAAACTGGAATTTTTTTTTTAATTGCATAATTGCAAAATAAATATTATTACTAAAAAATATGAGTTTAATATATTCGGAATGAGAAAGAAAAAAGTGAAAAAAAGGATCAGGAAAAAGAAGTAAATTAATTATTTATTCAATGAAAACTTTTTCCATTCTTATTATATATAAATAAAATACATAAAGAAACATATAAGCAAATTATTAAATAATTATACATCATAGAAATTGTACTTCTCTAATATGTCATCAAAATTCCTGCGGTATGCTTTTTTTTATTTGTTTAAATTTGACTTGATGATATCGTTTGTTTCCACCATGACAGGAATACATATGTATTATCTCTTGTAAACATTTATAATCTATGGTATCGACAAACAACAAATTCTGAAATCTTTTTTAATTAGAAATAAATTTTGAGACCGTTTGAATTTTTATCATAAAAAAATGATGTGAAATAAGAAAAGCATCATTTAAGGAATAATATTTAAATATAATTATCCAGTGATCAGACTAATGACATAACGATTAAAATTCAATAAGACAGATTGCATTCTATGGTCAAATTAATCAAACCAAACTATAATAAAACTAAATTACGATTATTTTGTTTGCATCTTTTTCTTATTGAGAAAAAAATAAAAAAGAAAGGAGTTTTTTCCTAATTTCGCTGTAATTAATTTATTTAAATATGATAAAGCAAAAAATAAATAAAATTCTGGTAATTAAAATTAAACTGCATTTTTTGAAGTTATTTCAACTTAGAAAATTTTTTAAATCCCTTTCACTAATTAACTAATCAGTACAATCTTTAAACGGAATAAAGCACACTCAAAGATATATGGATCGATAGATAGATGGATCGAATGACAGGAAGATAGAGGGATAGACACACAAACAGAGAGAGGGAGAGGAGAATTAATCGACGGACAGAGAACGGAACGGATCATGAAAAGTCCACCAAAGCTAACGTGGCAGATATTTCACGGTCCAGACATATTTAACAGACCGTTGTATGGTTCGTGACATGTTAATCAATGGAAAATGAATATTTTTTAAGTGAAGGAGTTACTTTCCCGGAATGTTGGTGATGGTTTTTTTGTTTTCTTTTTTTTTTTTTTTTCTTGTAATATTTTAAAATATTTGAAATTGCATATCTTGAGAAGTTTTCCTTTGATTTGCATTTCATTACAATCAGTAAATTGTGAATATTTTGAAAAATTATTTGTATTATTTTCGTCAGAATTTGGAAAAATTAATTTATTTTCAGATTTGAAATGTTAATAAATGCTTAACTGAAAGAAATCAAACAGAGAAAAAATTCTTCTGCTATTACTTGAAAAGTATATGAAAAATTGTAATATATGTTTTTATGATTTTAATCAGCGTTCAACAATAATGATAGGATAAAAATTCAAATTTTGAGAATTTCATTTATTTCGAGTTTACAAACTTCAGTTTCATATGAAATGAATTTTTGGAAATAATTCAATTGTTTCCAAATGATTGGAAAACTGTGACATTTCGATGACATATTTCCAGATTTCTTTGTTTGAGTTATTTACTCATTCGATAGATACCACTCATTAAACTTTCCATGCAACTTGATTAGAGTTTTAAACAATATTCCAGTTATTTAATGCTTCTACTATTTTCGCTGTCAAAAATTTTGCCACTTTTTCTCTAATTTTCAAAAAATCGAATTGGACTAAAATTTTAAAACTTTTTCAGAATCCAAATAAATTATCTCCAAATCATGAAATTACTAAGCGTTTAAAGTTATTGAACTTCAATAAAGTTTTTAATTAATTTTGGCATTATTTAGATGTTATATCGACAATGAAATTAATTTATAAAAGGATTAAGAATTGAAGAAATTAAAAGTGCATACGGAAAAATGCAAAACTAGAAAAAAGACAACAAATCTTAGAAAACATGCATACGGAAATGTTTTAATTAGTGAAGAAAAGAAAAAATGATATAATAGGTAAAACAAGAAACATTGATAAGATTTTTCATTTCACAGAAAAAAAGAAGAAATGTGGAGTGTTTGTGTTAAATTTTTATAAATAGTTAATGCAAAAGTCTTCATCAGAAGTATATTTATAATTTTGATTAAAAGACTATATATTAAAACGTTTATTGATCCGTTTTCGGAAAAAAGCAATAAAGTTGAATTCTTTTCAAAGTTGAATTTTTCAGTATATATTTGAATCATTCCATCATCCTCAAGAGTAAGAACCAAACGGTCAAAATTCTCGTTCCAGCGTCAAAGAGCTTTGGCTCAAAAGGAGGTATGCGTCTTTTTTTTTTTATTTTTTTTGGTAAATTTGTGCAAATCCTACCACAAATCTTTGTTCTTCATTTCACATTCTTGCTTGTCTTCGTTTACGTACGCCATTTACTTTCCCATTTTTTCCAGAACCAGTGTAGGAGTGATTTCATTTTAATCTTTTGGATATTAACTATTTCGAATATATTCGACTTTTTTTTTTGAGAAAATTCATACTTATTACTTTTTGCTGCTATTAAATTCCGATGCAAATCTTTCTTGCAATTTTTTCTATCGTAATTAACAATAGTGGTCCTTCTGAATCGTCGTATTGAATCGGGAAAAGTCAGAATTTCAGCTTATCTTAGAATTTAGAACGGAAAATTTTTTCCTTCTAATGGTCTAATCGAAAAGCTATATTATGATCATAAAAAGTCTTGTATATGTCATATTACGTTGGAAGGAAAGGAAATAGCTATTATTGGAAAGGAAAAGAAATATCAGTGAGGATACTGATATTGTTCTTTATGTTTTGTTGCATATCGTCGAAAATCAATTAAGGGATGTTGTTATTTGCCTATGTCCCGTGACAATGTCCTGTTCTCATCCAATCTGCTTTCATATTTCAGCTATGATTTTATAGAGGAGACTTCCGTATCCGGCTTGCTTAATTTTTTCTGTGTACTTTGTTTTTAATTCTGAGCGGTTCCATAAGGTTTCTTGTCTGTTTTCTTGTACTTTGTCGTCTGTTTTTTTCATAACTGAAGTAAATTATATTATTGCTTAAGTAATGTTTTATACATACCTTACCAAATAATTATGGTAGATGTAAATAATTTAATTTTCTTATCGGAAATATTTGAGAATGGTTAAGCAAAGCCTTTATCAAAAAGGGGGTGTTGGAAATTGAATGTGTAAACAAAAATTGGTTTAGCTGTAATTAAACGTCGTACATTTTCATACACTCATTGAAACCTCAGTAGAGGTCATTTTTTCTGATCGTGGTTATTTGTTGAAAATTTTTATGGTCGAAATATTTAGAAATATTGATGAAATGGTAAATTAAGCAGCAATTTAAAAGCCTGAGAACTGATTCCGTTTACAAAATATTCCACTGCTGTGGATCGTAGTCAAATTATGAGCTGCTTTAGCGGAATCGTAAAACGGGTGATAAGAAATTAGAATCGTTGAAAAAAAATTAATAATAATGTTTTCGTCTAAGGACTGCTTTTTATTTCTTTCTGCTCATCATCAGTTTCATTTGGGAACTATATATATATATATATATATATATATATATATATATATATATATATATATACATTAAATGCTATGATATGTTGCTAAATAATTGCTGAAATTGTCGAAATTTGTTAGAAATTCACTTTATTTGTTGTAGATGTCGTCAGTGTTGGTTGGTTACACAGATGCTGCTGCAAATGCAGCCCAAGCAGCTTCACTGATAAATAACAGTAAATATCGGGCTTATGTTGCGGCAGTCGATAAAGCACTGAAAGCTTTTGAAACTACCAATGAATGGGCCGACTTGATCTCAGCTCTAGGAAAACTTAGCCGGGTGAGTAAAATTTTAAATCGTTTTTTCCCTCTATGGCAAAGTTTGAAGCATGTCGTCATGATGATTGTTAGATATGTAAAATGTGACATCTTTCCATTCCTGAACATGCGAATGATTGTTTGTTAGGTATGGTTACATTTGTGCTCTCCTTCTGTTTCTCACTTCTCCACTTTTTCTTCTGATTTTGATAGGTAAAGTCTAGAATATTTTGGTTAGTTTGTAGTATAAAGTTTTAATTCCAAATATGAAGGCTAGATATAAGCAAACTGTTATTCAGCTTATTAACTTATAGTTTTCTCAAATTTTTGAAAAGTCATATGCGTAGTTATTTCTTTGTGAGATTAACCGATGATTTGGTTTTTTTCTTAAATCTTTTTCATAATTACACATTTTAGTTTTACAAAATTGCAGGCATTTCATGCAAATGCAAAATTTGGTGATATACCGAAGCCGGTGACTGTGGCAAAACGCCTTTCGCAGTGCCTTCATCCAGCTCTGCCGCATGGTGTTCATCTGAAAGCACTAGAAACTTATCGACAGCTCTTCGATATACTTGGCCGAAAGGATCTTCCACGTTTGCTATATCTTTTCGCTGTTGGACTGTTCCCATTGATGGATCATTGCGGAATAAAGGTCTTTTTTATATTTTATATATGAAATATTTTTCTAATTTGACAATTCATGCAAAAATTTTGAATTTAATATTACAAAATTCTTTCGGAATGCATCTAAATCATCTCTTTTTGCAATTTTTGTAACTTGACTAGTGTTTGTTTGTGAGAACTTTAAATTTTAGTCGACTATTCTAAAATGTTCAGGTGAAATCAGAATTGTTGAATATATTTGAACAATATCTCCTTCCACTGGGTGTTGAACTGAAACCAGCACTTCCCGGTTTTATCGCTGGTGTCCTGCTTGGCCTCGAAGAAGGAACCGAATTCTATGACAGGTTTGTTAAATTATTTTGTATTAATCTTTTCTTTCATATTAGTCAGTAAGAAGTTCAACTTCTTAATTTCTACCTCTTGATATGCTGGTTACTTTGCTTATCTTTATTTAGGTCATTTTCGCTTTTGGATCGAGTACAGGATAGCGTTGGTCCGGAAGCTTATTTTGCATGCCTTTGGGAAGCGGTCCTTGGTTCGCCATCTGTTCGTCTTCCAGCACTGATGTATGTAAATGCGAAATTTAATCGTCAAAAAAGTATGCACAATCAGGAATATATCATGGGAAATAATATCGATCACATGGTATCTTTAATGTTATCTTTTCATTTTTGAAACGTTGTTTTGTCCTCCAAAAGAAAAACCTCTCAGTCTTATGAAAATTTTAATATTTGTTATTTATTAATTTTCCAGATAGCCGCTCTTTGCGCAGCAGCAGATGATGATGGTTCAACACTTGTTCAACGTCACTTATTGGATTTTTTATCTTCTGCTTTTCCATTGAATTCTGATCATCTTGTAAGAGAAGATTTTGTTCAGGTGATTAAAAAATCTATTTAATATATCTTTATGTGCATGTTCGAAATTCAGTCACCTCAGCTTTTTGTTGAGTTTTTCACAGCTTTCATTTACTTCCTGAGCATTTGGTATAACGTTTTCACCAAGGAAGTTAAATTTTGAAAAGGATTATGCTTGTAGAAATAGTACATATATATATGAAAGCTTAATTGTAAATTCATATTTATAAACGTTTTTTTAGCTCCTTAGGCGTTGTCTTTTTTTGGTGCTTCGCAGAGATATGAGTTTGAACAGGCGTTTATATCAGTGGTTACTGAATCGTGTTGGTGATTCAGTTGTTACTGGATTACCTGTTGCTGGAGTGGATGAACAGCTTGATACTACTTTTTTCATGTATTATAATTTCTATTCTCGTTTTTACCTTTTTATTATGGGAAATATTGGTACATAAGTTTAGCCTGATGAACTCATTCCAAAATTTATTGTGATAAACTGAAACATTTACTTCAGACTTTAATCATATTAAATAAATTTGGATATTTAACAGCAATTTTTTAAGCACTTATGCACTGCCGATTGTGAGGAAAGCAATCGAAGAATATTTAAAATTAGATACAGTTCAAGTAACTAGTGGTCTTGCTTCCTGGGACGGTACGAAGGTAAGTCATTTGGGTTTTTATGTCTTTTGCCTCTTAGTATTCCAAACAAAGTTGCTGTTTTAATCCTTTTTTGAAAAAATAAAATATGCCTTAAATATATTAAAATATTGTCTTGTCTTAACTCGACATGTTCATCAACTTTGTTTTCAAGACACTGTTCAATTTTTTTTTTTTTTTTTTTTTTTTTAGATATTCTCTGCTTATCTACTATTAATGTAGGTTTTAAAATAACAAAACGAGAAATTCAAAAATGTTACACTATTGAATTGAATTTCAGTTTACTTTTATTCCAGGAACATCAAATGCAGTATACGGAAGTTCGTGTTGCACGTTTGCTATTATATTTTATGGATCGACCTGAACTAGGCTCTCTTTTTCTTGAAGAAACACTGCTACTTTTACTGGAATCAGCTTCCAAGAATGATATACGTTTGGAATCGGTTTTAGTAAAGGTGGACATTAACATTTTTTTGGATATTTCTTGTCAAATGGATTATTTCTTATTATCTAGCGACTTCTTTAGTCGTGCATGGACTGAAATTAAAGTGTTTGAAATTTTATATCACATTATTTTTAACATGATCTTGCAGAAGGAGGAAATATTAGGTGGAACAAAAAGATTATCAACTTCAACAGAAACGATTAATGAACAGAGTCGGCGATTTAGTATTACGAGCAAATCCTCTGTCAATTCACGACAATCACGATTAAGCATTCTATCAGAAGAGGCTTCCGCAGAACAGGTATTTCTGTATTAAATATCAGTGATCCATTAGCTTTATTCACGGTGATTCAGTATTGCGCTGTTCGATGTTCTGCAGAAATCGGAAATTTTCAAAACTATGGTTTACTTGCTTTGTATTCGAATTTTCAGGTTAAGCGATTGGAAGAGTTTGGAAAAACAATAAATCTGTTGATGAATTCGCTTGACGTTGGGTTTATTTGGAATTTTCTGGAACGAAAGCTGAAATTGTAAACTCTTGCTTTACACTGTATGATAAAAACTCAGGAAATCCATAGAAATGTTGAATGATGCGTGATACTGAATATTAAAGAATATGGCATACTGAACTTATTTCTAAATGTTTTTTTTTTTTTCTAAATGTTAAGATGCGAACTTACTTCTTTTTCGCTTCTGGAAAACTCCCCTCTTAAAATCTAGAAAAGCAGACATTGTGTTGAGTGGCATTTAGGGTTACTAAATTGGTTTTAAGGTTAATACAACAAAAGCAAAAGGAGCAACAAAATGGTACAATAGATCCACATTTGTTAACAAATGAAGTAAAAATGTTAAAAGAAGAAGAAGAACGAAGAACTACACAAGAGTTGGCAAATTTTCCACGGGTTCTGATTTCTTAAGATTTATTATGATTTATTTTTAAAAAGAATAATTTGTGGAAATGATGTGAAGTATTATAGACATTGATCTTTTATGGAATTAGTTCGAGTAAAAATCTCTAAAAGAATTCTTTGCAAAATTCGAAATTAAGGAAGAAAATCAGTTGTGGCAATTTCGATAAAATTAAAATTTGCAGATAGTATTATTTTGCCTAATTACGGTGGAATTAGATTCTCATAGTGATATCCGAGAACGGTATTTACCGCAGTTATTGTCATCCATTCTCACCACTATGGCTGAAAAGAATGTTGCTTCAATAGACGGTCAACTACTTGTTCGACTCCTCATTGTCGCAAAAGCAATTCTAAATGAAGTTAATCAAAGTGCTGTTGTTATGGAAGCTGGACGTTAGTAGTTAATACTTGAAAAAATTTGAAAGTATACTTAAACTTATTGAACCTGTAATAATACTACAACAGTACAGTACAGTCAGTTAGTGATAATGGTAACTACAACAATACAGTGTCAATGATAATAATAATGACAATGGCATAAGCATAATTTTGTCCATCGATCAAAAATGTTACAAATTTCACTCATTACAAATTTTAGTCGTTACACGAAAACGTGGCGAGGCATATGAAATAGTACGTTACGAAGAACTTGATTCAACGGAGAAACCATCTACACAAGGGAGCGCAATTAAAGGTTTCTTAAAATTGATATGTCACATGACTAGGATGCTTTCATACTATATTAAATTCAAAGATCTGTAATCTTCCACAGGTATTGATCGAATGTTAAAATTGCAATTTCATATTAACTAATACTATATTAACCACTGGAATGAGTTTTAGTAACTGAATAATAACTAGCCTTATTTGTTTTATTACAGAACAATGGAGAGTAGAGAATTGTTTAAGTAGCTGCCAACGACTTCTTGCACAGATTTGTGATTGGTATTGCAAGGAACGAGATAAAGAACGTTTGCAAGCATTTTATGCTATTTCAACTTTGACACGTGAATTTGCCGATTTTCCTCTGTATGATTTGGATACAGAGGAAATTAGGAGTAGGTGTTTGTATTTATTTTAATTTGTTCATGTCTTTCTTTAACGTATATTTTAAAGCGCTTCCATTCCTTTCTACTTATCATTATTGGAGCAGAATATTCATTAGTTTTACATTATACAGATATGGAATATCGTAAGAACCATATATCAAATAATTATCCAGTTTGGTTAAGGGCTTTATTGAGCATATTATCATTGGACGAATGGGATGCTTCCGTGAATTGTAAAGGTTCGATTTTTCTGCAATATTTTTCATGTTTCTGATATTTGTTATTTTTTCATATTATATCTTCCCTTATTTTATTTGGGGATTTATTTGATTAATTTATAACATTAGAAGCTCACAAATTTTAAGAAATATTAATATCTAGACTTAGTTTTTAAATTTTATTTATGGTTCAGGAATTACTTTTTGCAGTAAATTACCACACTGCTGAAATTCGGATAACCGATATGTTTGCTCGTGCAAATGCTTTGGATCTGATAACTTATGTCTATGTTAGAAGTATTTCGGTTGCTGAACAACATGCTGCTATGTTGCGACGACAAAAAAGGTTGATTACAACTAGATTAGTTTACGCTGTATGAAAATACTCGAAAATGTTGTCTTTTTAAGTTTCGAAACACTTTATTTTAGGGAAAATGCATTCCATATTCATGCAAACTTAGATTCCCTAATCAGTGATTTGATTTAATTGAGATGAAAATAACTGCGACATAATGCTTGGAAGTTTCAGGGATAGTAAAGAAAGGACAACTATTTTATTGAAACCACTACTCTCTGAAGCGGACTTGAAACGTTTGGATGATGACGACATTTTCAAGGTAAAGTGCATTTTTCAATTAAAAATTATTGTTATCACAAAGAATAAATGAATTGAATTGGAAAATATTAAAAGCAGTTTTAGGATTATCATTTTTGGAAGCTGATTCTTATTCCATGTTTATGTTTATGTAAGATTTTTTTTTGCATTGACTGGTGTTTTACACTTTATTCTTATTGAAATCTGGAGAAGTGTTTCTCTAATTTATGAAAATGTCGATCTTCGTATTTTAATTGTCTTTTTTTTACTCCTCATTTTCAGAAAGCTGCTAAAATTCTTTGGTCATATTTGGATCAAAGCGATAAGGCGTATTATCATTCGACGATTGCTCGATTGCTTTGTTTATTTCATTCACGAAAGCCCTCTGAACCGAGTAGCGATGTCGAGGATTTGATCGTTAGCAATCTTACAAGCACGAATAGAGTATCGAAACTTTTTATGTTCTTTTTTTTTTTTTTTTTTTTTTTTTTTTTGTAGATTTGTATTTTCCTTGCTAAAAATTTAAGTTTATTAGAAGTGCGACGGTACCTTATTTTTTAGGAACTAAGTTGCTCTGCTGCTAAAAAATTTCGAACCTTATGGATGTTAAATCGGCCTTCTGCAGCCGAGGAGCTCTACCTTGGATTATCATCCAAACCATTTAACAGGTTTAATTAATTGTACTTCAGACATTGTAGTTGTATTTAAACTTTAAGTTGAAGCATCATGACCCGAATTAAATCAAATCAGTTCGATTGATTTTCGTTAATTAATTACATTTGGTTTTATTTGACAAATATTAGGTTTTGATTGTAATTTAAGTTCTTTTAAGAGTAGTTATGCTTTTATTGGGTTTTCTTTCTGATGATACAATTGGTTACGATAAAACGGAATTGAAAAATATTTCGGGTTGTTGGTTCAATGATTGTGCTCAGCATTCGGATTTGCCATATATTCTGCAGGTAACACTTATAACCTTTTTGCCAATTTTATTTCAAATTTTTTGTAAATAACGATAAATAGTTTCCACTTGTTTTACTTTTTGCGTATTTATTATTGTCCACTCTTCATTATGCTACTTGCACATGTGTAACGTTCACTACAGTCCTTACCAAATTATCTTATAAGGACAATCTGCTCATAAATCCTATTACAAACTTCATTAATTGCCACATATGCCAGTGAAAATAACCGTTTTCAGCTTTTTTTTATCTTACATTGATTCCCAATGAATTGTACTTGTATTGAACAACTGAGTAGTTATGAGTGGGTGATAAAAAATTTGTTTACATATTCAAGATGTGGGCTACAATGCTTCTGAACCCCAGCACTTCACGTGTTTCAATTCAATATCTCAACATGCATCGTAGATTGAATAAGGAGAAGGTTTATATTTTTTATTAATAAGCATGAGTTTTTGAAAAAAAATAATGACATGAAAATTTTTGTCTCTCTTACCTAGACCTGACAGTTTGATTAGTATTTTATCTAGTAGTTTTATTTTTAAAAAGTACACTAAGTTGGTTGAAAGGACTAAAGTTGTAATTGAACAAGAAATTTGCGTTTTCAAAACTTACTCCATTATATCATAAATAGCTCTGACATTTTTCTCATTCTGATATTATGGAATGCTATCCTATGAAATATAGAAATTCAGAGATAAACTGAGAAATCTAGAATTAAAATTTTAAGGTATTTTCCTTTCAGTTTCCATATATACCACCTGGTATTTGTGCTATAACATTGTTAACAGATGGTGGTCATCAATCATTACATCATTTGTGCGAAGATGTTTCGGTAACAGGTTCAAATGAAGCTAAACGACATTTGGTTGAAGCTTCTACAGCGTTTCAAAGATTAAGAATCGGAGAGTTCGTTTTTTTTTTTTTTTAAATTAGTGAAATTGTTATAATTTCTAAATTTCACTCAAAAACTTGAAATTTTTAGTAAATGTACTGGTACTAGTTTTATTCGGGAATATTCTGAAATTAGTTTTCAGATATCCAGCTTGGTTGACTGAGTTAAGAAATCGTTTGTTGCAAGAAGGCGATGATAGTGGTACGATGGATTTGAATGTTACGAGCGAAGCGCAAAAAACTCATCGCAGGAATGTATCAGACATACCAATGTTTGATGATGATAATGTGAGCTATTTATAATCTCATTTTATGATGATTTTCACATAAATTTTTATTAGAAAAAATTGATGAACGGATGCATTAAAATAAGATTAAATGGCTGGCAATTATTTAATTTGTTTTAGGAAGTTTGGCATATAATAGATAGAAATTTTGATATGTTACCGTTCTTCTTTCAGTTATACATTTTGTATTATTTTTTGACATATATCTATTATACCTAGAAATTCGAGCAATATGTTTAAAATTCATTTCAGGATTCTCTTGAAACTGCATCACTCGATTCCTTGGATCATGACGTATTGGAAACACTACAGTATATCCTTGACTGTATTTGTGCTCAAGAAGAAAGTGAAATGGAAATACAAGCTTGTTTTGCTGGTGAACGGTCGTGTTCACATATTGAAATGACACTTATTAGTGATACACATTATACTCAGAGCGAAATTAGCGAAAAGGAAAGATTATCCGGGTTCGTTTATATCTCTCAAATTTTTGTGGTTTTTTTCTGATTTTTAATTTTTAATGTTGTCTAGTTGAGCAATGATAACCCATGCTTTATTTAAATTACAATTCAGATCTTTCACCCTAAAACTTCTGTCAGAAGCATGGTATTCGAGTTGTCTTCTGAAACCCTTATTCTTAGATAGTTCACGTTATCTTTATAATATTTTCGTGTATAACCCGAGTTTTAATAATTTTCAGTGCAGAACACAAAACAGCATCAGAATCGCAGTCAGTTCCTGTGGTTTCGTCATGGAAATCTGTTGAGAATGGTCCATCGATTTCTGAGAACTTAAAACGCTCCAGAGGTCATCGAAGGCAAGATTCATTGCAAGAAAGTATATTTACGATGTCTGCACAAGAACTAAAGTAAGGCTTACTCTTGGCACGATTTCAAAACAGAAACTTTTATTACTTTCTATTTGAAAGTTTTGTTTTCGTTATATTTAAAGTTAATTATTATTTATATTATATTTACTTAGATTATTTGATACATCTGAATTGCCTCGTCTGGAAGCAACTGGTGATGAAGTGCAACCACTCTGCCACGAATTACATGCGCATATGTTGCTCTATGCAGAAAGTGGACAGACGGTAGATTTAGCGCGCTCTGAAAAAGTGTTCCGAATGTTAATTGCATTGATGCGGACGAAACTTAGTTTTCTAACTCCCAGGCTTATTATTAGGTATGTATGTGAAAGGCCATCTTAAACATATGCTAACCATGAGTTTCAGTTCATTTTCTTTGTTTATGAGAGAAATGTTTTGAATTGAGCTATAAGATGTGAATTTACTTTAGTTTACTGTTCAGATAATTCAGATCTTTTCGGAATTAGCATTTTAAGTTCTTTGTGCTTACTTAAGAATGGCTATTGGCCAGAAACCTAGAAGCTTGAATTTGCAGTAATTCATTTTCTTTTTTCCCAATGGAATGCCTAATGAAATAAATCAAATTTTCAGTTGTATGGTTTCATCTGGAACTGCATCGCTTTCGAAATCTCCATCAAGGGCTGCATCTGGACAATTAATGGATCTTGTGTCACGTCACATTCGGTCCATATTAGGACAAGACTTTTGGGGTTCTGATTCGGATAATGCAAGTGGAACGGATACACTAAAATACAAACATTACACTTTCCTTGAACTCTTTATGACTGTGAGTTTCTGCTGTACTGATATGTTTTTGGTTCTCTCTAATTAATATTTCGACTAGAAGAGAAAGTTGAGGCTAGCTTTTAAAATTTCCTTCGTCAATTCATATAATAATGTAGATAATTGAGTACTGAGTTAATAAGTTTCTTATACAGTAAGTTTTAGAATATCAGTTCGAAAGTTCGTTATCTATTGTTAAAAAATTTTATGCGATATAATTTTCACTTCTTACTGAAACTGATTTTTATTCTTAACATATTGCAGATTTCTTTACATTTCCTTCGATCATATTTTGTCAATTCTCCTACTGCCAACGTTTCTAGTTTTGATTTACGCAATGCTTGGAAATGTAAGGTAAATTTTTACAGTCATCGATTACCTCGATTTTAAGATTTTTTGAGAAAAAACGCTTGTTGGAAATCCAAATAAACGAACAATTAGTTTTGTAATTATTCATGTTTTTACGAGTGGCTTACTGAAAAAAAGGTATATTTGTGTGTAATTCTGAGACACAGAAGTGTCTCATTAAAAATAGTGTTGTAGAATAACTATGTAATAATGAGAAATAATGGACGAAATTTTAAACTGATTAGTGTTGTTTATTTTAGATGGCAGTTCTGGATTTTCTCACCGAGTTAGTGCGCGGATTAATAGCAATAATCCAAGAGAATCAATCTCGAGCTTTAACTGCTTACATTCATAGCTTGCTCCAACGTTCAAAGCTTCAGAAATGCTTGTTGCATTCTCTTTTAACTTCTGTTCATAATGTTCGACAACATAATAATACCGAAATGTAAATCTTCATCCGTAGACAACATTAAATAATAAATAAATTCAAAATAGTTGAGCACTTTTACCAGTGCTTTTTTTAGTCAAAAATTTTCGGTTATACACTGTGGTCGAAGTTAAGTTGGATTTCCTATGCTTTTAAGATTTTCATCTGTTATCCAAATTTCATTATTTTTAGTGTCCCACTGTCAGTAGATATATTAGAATTTAATGATAGCAGTGCAACAGCTAGCAACAGTTTTTGTGATTTGATTGTTGGTTATCAAAGCTCATTGCTGGATTTAACTGCCACTGTAATACAATTGGAATTGGTAATCAAAAACGGATTTCAGAATTTCACTGATCAGGTACTTATTCATTTACGCCTTTTTTTTTTTCTTGTTCAATAGAAATTTGTAACTTTGTGGAATTTGGAATGAACGAATCGGCATGCAGATTATAGTTCGCAAGTGCAGCTCAGCAAATAATGAGCAAATAATAATGTTTAAGGCCTTCTTGGAACGCCATGTGAAAGTAATGGATATGAGAGCAAAATTATTGATAATATTAGGCTGCTAAGCAGTGTATACTGAGTAGCTTGATATTATGTGTGCTTACAGAATTCTTTACATCTCAAAAACTGAAAATTAGACAAATTTGAATTGAGTTATCGAAAAATTCTCAATAGCTTAACTAAAATTTCAGAATATCAGTGGTAGAGATAAATTATCAATAAATCATCAAATTTATAATTCACCGCAGCATCGTGCTACGCTTCGTGAACCATATATTGGCATGGTTGAATTGCGTATGTTCTTGTTAACTGTCTTGAATGCTCTCAAGAAACACTCAGCTGAACAGGAGCAGTGGCTTACATTTGTCGTGCGAATACTACCATTTCTCGATAGGTTTATTACACTCTTTTTTTATAATTAGAATGTAATAAAATATTGAAAATGAAACAGAATGAGAATCAGGTCAGTCTTTTTTCTGATATTTTTAAAGGTATTGAATTGTATCATTTTGTGTTAGACTCAATTTTCATATAAATTTAATTGCTTGAAAGCAATTTTACTACAGATCATTGTCAACATTTTCGGTGCATATTGTCGAGCAATTGTGTAAGAATCTAGAATCTGCTGTAAATATCGCATATTTGCCTACTACCAGTGATGAAATGCACAATGTTTCTTCAATCAGCCGAGTTCGTACTCGCTATTTAGGTGTCAGTCAGGAAAAGCCAACTTATCCAACTAATTATGCTATTGGAGTAGGTTTTATTATATGTACAATTTTTTTCGCAACTGGAAACACATAATGCATCAGGATATTTTTGATTTTCCATCTCTTCTGAGTGTTCGGCGGTTCCTGGCTTTCGTCTTTTTAATGGGATTTTGCTTAAAATATGGGATGGTGCAAAACATACTTAGTTAATGTATACTTTTTTTTTTTGATAGAATTTAAACTCAAGCATGCTTCTTTTATACTTTATCATAGAATTTGTTGTTCATATGTATAACTGCCTGATAATATTTCAAAATTATTCTCTATTGTAGTTTTTTTTTTTTTTTTGTCAGTTATCAATTATGTCATGTTGGAATTTAAATTCTGTCGGGAGCAAAAATTTAAATAAAAATTTTATACTCAAACCTTTCGCTATTGTACTAAAATTTCTATATCTTGATTGATTTAGATTAGGAAGAACTTCTAAAATTGACTTTCCAAGAGGAAGATTTTTTATAGATATTGGAAACATTGAATATGTTCTTTCATTATTGCCTTATCGACAATACATCTCAATCCAATACTTTGACATTGACCAATGTCCATCAGTCTTCACAGGTATTATTTCATGAAAAGAATACTGCACTACTTGGAATTTTTTTTTTTTCTGATTATATGATTGAAATTTATGAGTATCTAACAATTGCTGACTTTAGCCTATTTTTTATTTTGTTTTTACTTTCACCATATTTCACTTAGTGATTTGTTCTCTTTTGAAATGATAAAATTTACGTGGTGCTTGAAATAGCTTAGTATATGACAAGAAATTGAAAGAATGATACAACAGTTTAACTAATTGAGATTAGTCAACTTAATTATCAAAAGGTAAGTTCTATTGATGGAAAATATAGTATTTTGTTTGTTCATGTCGTTGACTTCATTGAGGCTTTATTATTTATTAGAGAGATTTTATGTTGTAAGTAATTTATGGTCTTGGTGATCAAACTGAAATCCTTATTTAGATAGAGAAATCCTTACTTTTGCAATTATTTAAGTCTGTTGTAGTAATAGACAAGAAACTTTTAAGGCAGATTAGTTGGTCAAACTAAGAGTTGATCCCAACAAATCTTTTATTTTTAGGTCGTAGCAGTAAGCAATCCATCGCTGGCATCATCAGTAATGAATGCTATACCAGGTACACGTGGTGCTACAGAGCTTATCTCCAATCTCGTTAAAGTTTTCTCCTTTAGCGATAGTACTAATGTGGTAAGCTAATGGCATTTTTTTTTTTTTTTTTTTTTTTTTTAATTCATTTTGTTTTTTTTTTTTTTTTTTTTTTTTTTTTTTTTTTTTTTTTTTTTTTTTTTTTTTGTTTAATTTTCTCTAGTCGTAAAGAAACCGGGTTCTTTAATTATTCATAAATTCAAATGAAATACTATTTAAAGCAACTGAATCTGTTAGAGCTGAATTTAGATCGATTAAATCCTCGGAAATTTTCTATAATTTCACCAGTATCGTTATTTTTTCTATGTTCAGAAAAGAAAATGGAGACAAAATTTAAATACACAGCATATAAACCTAATTCATAACCATAGGTTTTGCACTAAGAATTTTTTGCTGATTATTTTAAACTCAAATATCAAAGCTAGGTGAGAAAAAGAGGAACCGAAATACTTGTGGATTATTGCGCATTGCTGGCTTTAAACGAAGTTAAGTCCATTAAATTTAAGTTTGATTAATCCTCATACAATCTTGTCGTTGTAATTCACATCTAAATTGTAGTCATCAAATGCTGCACTCAGTAAATTTACTGAGCTCACAGCCGATGATGTTTGGAAGCAAGCACGATCTGATATACTTAACGCTTTTCCACATACTCTTGCTACACTTTGTGATGTTTGGACACAGTTGCGAAAAGGAGAACCAAATCTCCCTATTGGAAATCCTACAGTATTTGCTAACCTTTTTTGTAGTTATACTAGACGTTTGGTTTAACTTATGAAAGAACAAGTTAAAAAAAAAAAAAACATAGCAGATAAATCAGTCTTTAAAACATTGTATAATTTTGGTAAAATGAGGAAGATTTTTTTTTTCACTGATAAAAAAGAAAAACTTTTTATCTTTAAGTATTATTATTCTAAAACAATGTTGCGAACATATTTAGATAATCCGACAATTAATTCTTGATTTGCTTTCACCAATAGTAGAACATCATCAGCAATCATTTTTATCATCACTTGCATTGGTATGGATGACTCGAAGTTCATTAACATCACAGAAACAGCTTACTACACGTGTTGAATCTGATCAGGTTGTTTTTAAGTTTACACTTTTGCTTTTTTTTAAGCTTTTGAGCTTACAAAGCTTCCTTCAACGATACTTTAGTTTCTTAAGGATGCTACAGAACTAATTAAAACAATTTTTTTTCATAATAAATTACTTTCTCATTAGTCAAACAGATTTAGATAAATTGTTGAAGTGTTTCTCTTATTTAATTATAATAAAAGTGATATATTGAAGAAAATGATCAAGTTCTCTTACTTTCAGTCGTCATTTGATTATTCACCGGCACAGCTCGATATTGCTGATCTCTTGCTGAGTATCAAAATTCTTCCATTTGAAAATCTTATTTCTACGGTTGCTGAAGCACTGAAAGAAGGCGCATGGAAAATAGTAAAATCAGGTGCAGTTCTTGATAAGGTAATTGTTTTGCACCAATTCTAAATAGTTTGAATGGTTAGCACGCGAAAAATGTAGAGTTTTAGTTTTCTTCTCTCATATATATGCAAAACATTGGGATCTCAGCTCGTAATCAATATTGACTGCTTGAACTATGTATTAATTATATTACAGATCTATATTAGTTTTTATCAGTTTTTCAACTATTTCATTTTAATCTTTTCAGAATTGGTTGCAACAAAGTGCTTTCCCAACTGAACTTGCGCTACTGGAAATGCTTCATGGTTGTGTTAGAGCTACATCGTCTGCTGCTCTATACAATTGTTGGCCATCATTGCAAGCATTGTTTGTGGAATCACCAGTTATGTCGCTACCACCGAAGGCTGTATTCATCCAATTCATGTAAATTTTAGAAGGCGCTACCACTTCCACTATTTAGATTCAAATTTGAAATTCCATCAAATTACATGTTTATATACGTTATTCATCTTGTTTTTGGCATAAAAAGGGGCATAATCTTTGAAAATATTCCAATTTATTTGAAAGATTGACATGTTTTGTTTCATATATAAGACTTCTCATTTCGTCTTATTTATTTTTTGTCTAACCTGACTTTGTCTTCTTGAATTCCAGTATACTTGTGGATTTCGTACAACTTATTACAAGTTCAGCTGTCGTTGAAGATAAGCAATTGTCACGAGCTGCGCAGGATGCATGTCAGAAACTTACGGAAGCTATGAATATTATCGTTGGTTGGCAGTTGGAACAAACCACTTGGTTGAAGCGGACATTAGTAGTCAAGCATGATTCATCCAGTAAATGTTTATTTCTAAAATGTTTTGATGTTTAAAACGGTTATTTATTTGATTGAGCCAACCAAAAAATGGTTTTATTTGCATTGCCGTCCAAGTGTTTCGAGAAATGATTACTGCATAAAATCATTGCTAAAATTTGGCGAAAAGCAAATTATTAAATTTGTTGTTATCTGTTCCGAGCTCAGAAATGATGAAATTCTAATTACATTGCAGCGCAAAAATCGCAAGAAACATCACCGGTGGTGGAGTTCGCCACTGCACCAACGTCATTAGCCGCATCGGAAAACAGTTCTTTACGTGGTTCCACGTCATCTTTGGTGCCACCGAGGTTAATGAAGAGTCAAAAAACAAATATATTCTTCAAATACTTACTAACATCTTTTCTTGAACATCATTATGTCATTTGATTCAATCGCTTTCAGGATTCCCACATTTGATACAGCCACGCAGATATCAGTATCATCTCAGGGTGCTTCAAGCTCAGCAGCTGATAGGCGGAGTATAACAAACATTCGATCAAGTTTGAAAGATCCCAATAGTTTAAAACGCGATCCAACACACAGTACTCAAGCTTTATTTTTGCTTGCTGAGGTTAATTCATTCACTGGACAGCATTATATTATTTCTTTTCTTGCAAATTATAAAGAAAAAAAGCGGTTCTAAAATGTTTTTCATCCTCAAATTTACTTTCTAATTCCTATAGAATGATAAATTATATCAAGACTCTACAGAATGATAAATTGTATCAAATATCAAAATAAGGAAAATATAAATTTTTTTGGTTTAAAGAATTGGATTAATTTTTCAAATCAGTTTTTCACCGTTTCGAACTTTTTTGGTGCTCGAAGTATAAGAGATTTAAATGTTGTAGGTTTTTCTAAAGTTTCCTAATAATGTTTTTTTATCAATTTCAGCATTTAGCTGAATTGATTGATTCGATATGCAAGAGTGAAGATAAAGAGAGATTATTGCCATTACTTCATGCCGTTTGGAGCAATACGTTGCCATATTTGAAAGCCAAGAAGTTTGTTTTTCTAGAAAAATGAAATTTTTTTTTAATGGGTTAATGAATCTAATTTTTTTTAAAACAACATTGAATTCGAAACACAGTTTTTGAATTTAAAATTTATAGAAATACAATTTTTTAATATAATTTTTATGTGGAATTTTTATGGGCTATTATTTATATCTTAATTTTTAATTTAGTGCTCGAAATGCTCGATTCTTCCTTGCTAGTTCACAACTGCTTGCATCAATGAGTACTTTTAACTATATGCGACCAGTATGGCGTAAAGCTACATTGGATCTTCTGCTTGATCCAGGTAGGTGTTTCGTAACTTGGTAATTAACAGCAGTAGTTTTTCATTAGTCTTGGTTGAAGTTACAGCAATTATGTATCTTGAATTAAAAGACTTTTACATTCATTGCCTCTTTGACGAAATACACAGGTAAGCATGCAAAATATCGTTCCTATTATACGTCATTTGTCATTCATGAAACTTATAGCTTTCTTTAAAATGGATATGCAATCACTGAAACATTGGTTGGTTATAACTGATCATTTGATGACTCACGACAAAACATCTTTCAAAGAGCTGCTTGGTTCGTTCTTCATTAGTTTTGATTGTTCAACAAGAATTTAATGTATAGCTGGATAGTTCATCATTTATCAAACTCTGTTTTGATGAATCGTTAGGTTTGTAGGAGTTAGCTAATTATTGAAATCTTTTCATTTTTGCTGTGTAAACGGTAGTTTGCACACCAGATATAGTTTCAAAATTATTGAAGAATGTTTACCGTTCCAGTCGTTCGTTACTTAATTAATTGGTGATGTGTTTTGCATGCATTAATTATTAAATTAGATACTTTGTAACATAAAATTGACAGAGTTTGGTCACGATTAGTTACGGACTTCCATTGCACTTTTAGAAAAGTTCAGATTTTTAGGAAGGATTTCAACAGCGCAAAACTCGGCACTTTCAAGTCTGATAACAAGCAAAGAAGTTGAATATGAAATGCGCGCCCAGGCACTCAAACGTTTGGCATTTATAATACTAAGCTCAGAACTCGGCCAATATCAAGCTCAGTTACCTGACATACAAGGTAATTTGAGACTTTTGAAATTTGTTTATAATGAGTATTATTTGAAATGCTTTTTATATTTCGTATGAGCACCAAATACTTTTGTATCATCTGGAAAGAGGGATAAAATACTGTAAATGAAAATATCTGTGAAATGTTACGTAGAACAAAATTTTTGAGAAGAAAACTGTGACGAAGGCATTGGTATCATCTGAGCCTTAAGTGTATCAGAATATTTTCTGAGCAGATGAAAATCTAAATAGAGGAAGCGTATTTTAAAGCTTTTATTACGATGATTCACTATACAATTTTGCATTTTTTTTTTCTTTTTTCAGAGCGTTTATCAGACAATTTGCGTTTATCACAAGTTCCGATTGTTCATGCCCAAGTGTTTCTTTGTTATCGAGTCTTGCTTATTAGGCAGAAACCACAACATCTTGTCAGCATATGGCCTTCGATGGTTACTGAACTGGTAGTGTATTTAATTTGTTGGAAAAGAGATGCGTCAACTTTTGTAGCATTATTTTTGCCAATTTCTCAAGTTTTATTATATTGTAGTGAAATTTCTAAGCCATTTTTGTGATGCACAAAAGGAATTATTGATCTTGAGCGACAGAGAAAGGATGAATTTCAGGTTCACGTATTGTTACAAATTGAGCAACAGTTATCGGGTACAGCAAATGTTTCGGATGATTTAAAATGTGATCGAAATGATCAGTGGATGCAGCTTTATCTAGCTGCATGTAAACTACTTGAAACATTATGTACACTTCCCGCCGGTTATTTGGCACAATTTCAGATGTAAGTACTTTTGAACGTTTTTGATTTTCTACCATTATTATTGTATTATGGAATGCAAAGTCTTAGTTTTTTTAATTGCGAGGCTTCGATTGATAATCAATTTTTTGGTTAGAATTATCAGATATACTTAGTTTGAGGAAAAGAATTTTTTTTTAGGTGTCACTGGGCATTTGTAAATTCGGTGGCAACAAGTAATATCGATTCATTTGTGCCATTCGCGAGTCGTATAGATCGTTTACTTCGTAATAAAGTATGTCGTTGTTAAAATGAATGATTTTTTTTTCTTATGTAATTTACAATTTTAATTTGACTGTTACTGCAGAATCACATTTTCAGAATTACTTTTGATCTAGTTTCAGTATGGTCAGCTATCAGCTCATGGTCGGAAGTTTATGTCTGCTTCACTGGTTAATGTTAAAACGCTGACAAGCTTTAGTGAATTGCGTTCATTCTTCTTGGCACTTGCAACCCAGAATGAGATGCGTGTTTTGACGATGCAATTTTCCTTTGACAAAGTATGCTTAAATAGTTGTATGAATCGCTTGCTAAAGTCTAACAAAATGATAAAACCATATATTAAAAATCAGGTGTGATCATTATATTAGGATACATTATGCTTTTAGTATAGTTGAGCTTATTATCTCAAAACAAAAAAAAAAGAAAGAATTTCAGGAGGATCAATTACGAGATGCTCATTTTCTGAATGGTTCACTGTCTTACAAAGCTGCAATTAACCGACTGGAACATGCACTATATGTTGATTTTGCAGAGCACTGGCAGTTATAACTGTATATTAATTTTAGAAATCTTTCAATCGATTCTAATATCTATAAGGTTGCTTAACTAGTATAATGAGCTATTGTTTCGTTATTTTCCACAATTTCAGGAAATTTCATTACTTAATTTGAATTGAACGAAGATTTTATTTCTTGAATCTTAAATCCTATGCATTTTTATTGACATCGTTAAAAATTTTTAAGCTAAAATATGAAGATATGAAAATGAAAAGTTGAAACTATTTTTCCAATATTTTGATAATTTTCAGTAAACCTCAAATAAGTTCAAAATTTTGATGTCTTTCAAACTTTATGAATAGGCAAAAAAAAAAGCTATTGTATGGTATGTATTATTTTTCCTTGCCGATATTGTATATAATTTCAACTGAATTCTAGCACAGCTATTCTCATGAAATTAGAGATTTTGTATTTGTATAATGTGTAATCGTGTCTTTCTAGAAGTGGTCTATCAAAAGTGTATAATGCAATTATTGCCATTTACATGAATGGGATTTTGAGTTGACCTTATTTAACAAAATAGTTGACATGAAGCATAAAAATTTTATTTGAAAAAATCATTTATCACTATAGGTATTCATTTTCACATTTTGTTCACATCCATTTTCCTCAATTATCATCTCATTGTAATTTTCAGAGATATGTGAGTGCCTTATTATCATAACATTAATTGAAAATCATTCATTTCTTGTCAGGTTAATCTGATTAAATGGATTGGTCTGAATGCTTGACTAATTGAACTATCAGTAATTTAATTTAGTCATTAAAAATGGCAATAATCGCATCATTTCATTATTTCTTTGTGATTTCATTTAAAAAGAAAAAAAATATTGTTAAGAAATCACATGTATTTGCAGATTTGAAACTGGTAAAATGTTTCATTGTTTGCCTTCAAATGATATGTACGATGGCAAATATTGTAGTGTTTTTTTCCTTTTTTTGCTGATTTCTTTTAAAGCGATTGTCCAAAGTTTTATTCTTTCTTTTTTTTTTCTAAATTGGTTTTAAGTCTAAATAAAAAGTAGGATGATATCGATGATAATTATAAGTCATAATTTAACATAAACTGAACTTTAGCTAATTAAGTTAACCAATTATAGTAATCTATAGGGTATGGTAATATTTAATTATCCAAGACGATGAGATGAGATGTGTGTATCATTGGTGAATAGTTTAAGATAAAAATATTCCTACTCGATTTTTTAACTTCAATTTTTAGGGAAATTAAGTTAGTTTTTAAGTCACTCTTTTAAATATCATGGTAACTTTTGACATTCTAAACACTTTTCTTTCAAAATTCACAAAAGAAAGTTTATTACTGTGATAATTCAGTTAAATTTTGTTGCATTTGAAAGTTGAAGTCTGAAACTTGAAGTTGTGTGGAAAAAATCAAATTCCACTGCATAATTTATATTTATTCGGTCTCTGTTTATGTTTTATTTTTTTATTTTTCTTTCATTGCTGTGCTAATTCTTTTGTATCTATCTGGGTTTTTCCAGTAAAATTGATTCGGATAAGATTTTGTTGACGAATTGAATACATTTTTGTTTCAAAAATTACTGTGATAATTCATTCAAATATTTTTAAATGCTTTTGATACATCTTGAATTTATATTTTTTATACATCTTGAATGCAAGCAATACCAGGAACAATTTTTATTTTAGTTGAAATTTAGTTTGATTTCAAGCAAAAAGTTGTGTCCTCTAAATTCTTAAACTCTGGTTACTTCTAAAATTAGTATTGCTTAAATTTATTATTTGTACATTGATAATAATAGTGGCTTGTAATATTAAAAATGTTTTCTATTAAAATTCACGTTTTTTTCTACATTAGATCTCTCAGAACAGATTTTTGTGCATTAATCGAGCTGAAAATATTTAACAAAGAAAAAAAAAATATACATATATAATTTTGTTGAAGAAAAGAAAGAAGAATTAATGCTAGATCTGATTTGATTTTTCTAATTCCTCTGCAGTAAATAATTCAGTTCCAAAAAAAAGGAAAAACATGTGTGTGTGTGTGTGTGTGTGTGTTATATCATTTCTGAATTTACTATCAGATTTACGATGGTACAAGCAAAAAGTGGTGGCAGAAAAAATAGGAAAACTGTTTTATTTATTAATTAACTAAAAAAAAATACAAAAATAAGCAAACAAAACTAATAATAAATAAATGAAATTAGCAATAATTTAGCTAACTGTATAACTTCATTTAGGATTATCACAATTGAGTTGTGACATTTAAATATGCGATAAAATGTCGTTAAACATTGTAAATTCAGCAGAGAAGACATCATGAAATGATGAGATCACCGCCGACACTGCCATGACTATCACCACTACCGCCACAGCCAATGCGACATGTGCACATGTAGTGGAACAATTAAGAGGAAGATAAGGTGATAGGGAAGAATATATTTGAGGGTTAAAGATGGTTAGAAATGAGAGTTGACTGTTGTTGATATTTTAAAATGTGATAAGAGTAAGAGTTGTAACTATTGGTAAACAGTTTAAAGTAAGTAAATTAGCAAATAAGCAAATGGTAAGTACTAAGTAAGTAAACTAAGTAAACTGGTAAAATGTTAAGATTAACAAATATAAGAAAATAAGAAAAATTATGGATAAAACAAATAATTATAAGGTGAAATGAAATTTTTTAATTTATAATTTCTACTCAACATGTATTGTCGTTATTTCCTGTTTTCGAAATTTCAATCGATATTCTATTTGTGTGAAATAATAAAACGTTTTTATGTCTTTTTTTTTCTTCCTTTTTTTTTCTAGAAAGTTTATAAATTTTAAAGGAAATTTTAATCGAAAAATTGTATTGATGAATGCTAAATTTTTGGAAGCAATCGATTTGCTACGAGATAATAATGTGACACAATTTGAAAAGCTAATAAAACAGTTCCCGCAATTGCTTGAGATACGACGTCGTGGACGTTCTCTGCTTACCTATGCATTACTTTACGATCGTTTACGAGCTTTACAAATTATCTCAAAGTATGATTTAAATTTTATAGTAATTTTTATAGTGTATTTCATGCAATAAAAGTTTTAAAAAAGACGAGAAAAGATCAAAAAAAAAAAAAAAAAGACTAAAAAATTTAACTTCGGAAAAAAAAACTAAAAAAAGACTTGCTATTTTAGTAAAAATTAATTGTTTTCTATTAGAATTTGTTTTTTTTTTTCTTTTTTTCAATTATAATAATCTACATTTTATTTCAACTATTATTGATAATTAAATGTAAACCTCTAATTATTTCCATTTTTGCAGACGATCTAAATCATCATTTGACGGTGAAGATTGTTCGGAAAGCGCTTTACATTGGATTGCAAAATTTGACGCACGTAAATGTTGCAAATATTTGCTTAGTTTACCACGGCAATATTCCGAAATACCATGGATTGTGATAAAAAATAATCGGCAAATTACACCCATTCATCTTGCTGCACATTATGGTCATGTGAAAATTTTAAAAGTATCATTTTTAAAAAAAAAAAAAAAAAATATTTTAATTTGAGAAATTTTCACTTTCATTTCAATTTTTCAAAAAAATATTCAATTATTACAAACAACAAAAAAAAAAAAAATTTCGCAAATAAAACCATAGAAAATATTAGCAATGTTTATATATTATGTTTGATAATTTTCAACTTTTCTTTTTTTTTTTTTTTTTTTTTTTGAAAATTTTGAATATACCAGGATAAATTTAAATTAATTTAAACTACATGTAACACATAAATTTATGTATTAAAAATTAAAAAATACAAACATCCAACGATGTTATTTATTTCTGAAACATTTCATATTACTTCTTTTTTCCTCAATTTTTATGATTTCAAAGATTTCAATTTTAACTATATCCTTAACATACACATTCAAAAATGATTCAAAATTACATCCCTATAAGTTAATGTTCTTGTCGTTTTATTTAAATATCTTTTTGTTTATGTTTATAATAATTAAACGTATTTTAGAGAATTGAAATGAATTAAAGTTATCAAATCAGAATATAAAAATTCATGTTTGAAATCTAAATCTCAAAAAAATATATCAAATATATCGGTACATCATCAAATTTAACATGAATTTGTTGCCTTTCATATCCACGTCATTTTGTTTTTTCTTTATTTCATATATGATTTCTGAAAATTTAATTTTAATTAAAATATATAGCATAAATTATATATGTACCACAATTATTGAAACATATCAAATTTAATATTTAGAGAAATTTAATTTAAAAAATTTCTTTTTTTCTTTTATTTCGTTTTTTTTTTTTCAAGATGTTACTTCAATCTACCGTATTGGATAGTGAAAATTTTTATCAAATGGTAAATGATAACGTCGGTCGATCACCGCTGCATTATGCTGCATGCACTGCAAGATTGGAATGCTGTGAGGTGCTGCTTGATGAAAAACTTGGATTGCCGGTGGATCAGAAGGATCGAAATGGACATACACCATTAATGTGTGCTGCTGCTAGCTGTCATCCGGATGGTTCGTTCCATTCATTTAATAAATTTTGCAAATGAATTTTAAGAAAAGACAATGGAAGGAAAGAAAACATTAAAGAAATTGTTAATTTAATTAGTTAAAAATAATTGGGAAAGTAAGTATATATTAAATGAAACAATTAAAATTCTTTATTTCCCAAAAAAAAAAAAAAATTCATATTTCTTATTTGAATGACAAAGAAAAAATGCATAAATTTTTTTGCATAAAAATATTTTACTCTTTGAATTATTTTCTTTCATTACATTATTTTTTTAAGTTATTTTCCCACTAATTTGGAATGGAAAAAATAATTAAATAAACTACATTTTTCTTTACTTTTATTATTTCATTCAACCATGTAAAAGCAATTTACTTTTAACTTAAAAATTAACCATGAAATTTTAGAAATTTAAATTCTATTTGTTTTTTTTTTTTTTTTTTTTCAACTTGATTATAGCACCAGAAGTAGTACGTTTATTGGGAAGCCAAAA